ATAAATCAACCAAGTCACTTATCACGTGGAAAGTTATAGCAGCCAATAATACTCTAAACGCATGTTGATTCTAAATGTGGAGGACCTGGATAAAAATCCACGCGACTATGAAGAGAAATAAGAGACACGCAAACTCCAAATATACAGCAGCAGGCGTTAGGTTCGAGATCGAACCCACAATCTCCTGCATACCAGGCGCAGGAGTTAACATCTCCTGGCCGCCGTGATCGTCACGTTCGCCGACCGCGTGTCTGGACTCGTTTGTTCGTCGGTGGCGCCGCCGTGGCCTCGCGTCTCGGGTGCCCGCAGTGGAGAAAAAACGACAGCGCCTTAGTTTGGCTTTGCCTGGTAGGATGGGGATGGTTTAGTTTGATTTGTATGTTTTTGTGTAATTTGTTTGCATTGCCTGTACTTGGTACCCCCCTCCTATCGTGTTTTTTTTTTGTTTGGAGTTGTGACGTTATCACCCGCCACTACTACACATCTGTGAAAAAGAGCTTTAGAGCGCATCGGATTCTTCCAGTACAAAAAAAAATCTATATTCCGATTCTGAGCAGGGTGCCAACATGCTTCAGCACGGCCCTGGCACGGCTCAGTTGTGGAGTGGAAACAAAAAAGAGAGGCGTTTCGGTCCTGAGTTAATCACGAATGCACGCACGCACGCACGCGTTTACTGTGACCCGCTCGGCACGTGGTAGCGTGTGTGGGATTTGCATTCAACTGCTCGCGCGTTCCAGAGCAAAGCACCCCCCCCCCCCCACACTCCAGGGCTTGCGACCTGCTGCGGGGACGTATTTACAAGTTAAGCAATTTTCACTGAGCTCCATCCAAATACCAATGAAGTGGTTACAAGCCGCACAAGCCTGATGATTGTGAAACGCGCTCCACGCGACGCAGAGAGGGCCGATTTGTGTTCAGAGACAGCTCGTGTGCGCTCGTGTGCGTGTGTCTTTGTGTGTGTGCGTGTGTCCGGCAAAACAACCCCCTACCTCCTCGCGGTGCCGGACGGGCAACTCTGTCGTGGACATTGCTGTGGGGGGAGGGCCAATTCCGATTGGCTCCTCCCCTCATGGCGTCTGTGTCCACCACAGTGGCTAAACGGGGGCTCTGGACGGGTGCAAGGGGCTGGTAACCCCTCCACCTTCAATTAATTACCACTAAACTACGACTGAAATTTGTAACCAATAAGCTTGTGCCGGAGACCCCGGGGGGACAGGCGTCTATGACGTCTCCTGGCCAAACCCCAATTGGCGGAGCCAGGAGATTGAATCTCTACCCTCGGGGCTCCTCCAGAAACAACGAAAAGCCACTACGGATGGCCACGTGGAATGTTCGAACGCACACTGCGGAGGAGAGGCTGCCACTCCTCTGTCGGGAGCTGGACCGGTACCGCCTGGATCTTTGTGGCATTCAGGAGGTCCGGTGGACCGGTTCTGGCTCCTGCCACCATGAGGGGTGGACAGTCCTCTACTCGGGGCAGCAGACTGCCAAACAACAGGGTGTGGCTCTTCTTTTGAACAAAAGCATGAAGGGGGCGTGGGAGCGTAGCGGTGAGGTGTGGGAAGCTGTAAGCCCCAGACTACTTTGGGCTCGCCTTCCCATCACCCGGAGGCGAGGAGTGGGGGTCGTGGTTACTTATGCCCCCACCGAAGACGAACATCCGTGGAGGGATGCAGGCAAAGCCGATGAGTCAGATGCCTTCTATGACCTCCTGTCACAGGGTCTGGCTAAAGTGGCCCCTCGGGATAGAGTCATCTTGATGGGTGACTTCAATGCCCGAGTTGGTCATGATGCTGGCACCTGGTCTGGAGAGATTGGAGGGCATGGGCCAGATCAGCTCAATAACAACTGTAGGAGGCTGCTAGATTTTTGTGCAGCCCATGGCTTGTAATTACCAACACGCTGTTCCGGCATCGGCGCATCCACACATCATGGATGTATGCCGGGTCCAAGCAAGAACATCTGCTGGACTACATAGTGACGGACCGGCGGACGCGAGCCCATGTCCTTGACACCAGGACCTACCGTGGAGCTGATCTGCCCTCTGACCATCGACTAGTCATCTGTAAGATGCGCCTGCCATTCTTCCACTCCGGTGGTGGGTGTACACCCAGGACCCAATTCCAACCTAAAGTGGCCTGGTCTCAGTTATCTGATGAAAGTTGCAAGCAAGAATTACATCATCACTTGCGGCTGGGATTAGCATCGTCCCCCACTCCTGATGTCGAGGGAAAATGGGCGAGGTTTAGGACTGACTCATGCAGCTGCAATGGCTGCTTTGGGGACGCGGTCCAGACCTCCCCAGAGACCCTGGCTGACAGAGGTGGTCAGGATGGTTGAGAAAAAGCGACAGGCCCACTGTCATCGGCTACAGAATCCCACGTCAGAGAATGAGGACACTTACCGCAGCCTTCGCTCAGAGGTTCTGAGAGCCGTGAGGCGCAGCAAGGATGGGTGGTGGTCGCGGGTTGCTGAGGAGATGGGAGTCTGCCTCAGTGGCCCGCGATCACAAATCTCTATTTAACTCCATCAAAAAACGGTGATCCAATCTCCGACCCCCAGGAATAGGTTTGCAGATTTGCTGAGCATTTCTGTGAGGTCCTGGGGGAGGGAAAATCCCTCAGCCAGGAAAACATCGTAGGCTGCGGTGCCTCAAATATTGGAAGTCACCTCCTGAGAGTGGCTGGCTGAAGTGCCATCTGTTGAGGAAGTACTGAAGGCGATCCGGAGTTAGAAACCAGGAAAGGCAGCGGGCAGAGATGATCTCCCAAGCGAAATGCTGAGGGAGGGTGGTGTTTGTGCACAGACTGCCCTATATGACATCATAACAAGTCTGGACCACTGGACGGGTTGCGCAGGATTGGAAGGATGCCCTGGTGGTCCCCCTCTTTAAGAAGGGGGACCGCACAGACTGTAACAACTACAGGGGCATCTCACTCCAAACACTCCTCAGTGTGCCGGGAAAGGTCCTGGCAAGGATTATTCAACATCGCCTTGCCAGGTATGCTGAGGAGAGGCTTGCGAAGCCCCAATGCAGTTTCAGGAAATGGCGGTCCTGCACAGATGCCATATTTTCTGTCCGTCTGCTACAGCAGAGGTGTAGGGAATTCCAGCAAGACCTACATCTCTGCTTTATTGACCTGGTCAAGGCCTATGATACCATCAGTAGGCCTGGGCTCTGGGTTGTTCTTCGTACTTTTGGAGTACCTGACCCTCTGCTCACGATCATTAAGGACCTTCATGATGGTGAGCGGGCCAGGGTAAAACTACGTGGCCGGGAGTGAGAGCCATTCCCTGTACACCTTGGAGTGCGACAGGGATGTCCTCTGGCTCCCACATTATTTAACATCTATTTTGACCACGTAGTTCGTGAAGTCTTCAATAGCTGTACAGGGGGATTCTCCATATGGTACAGATATAATGGGAGGCTGATCGATGCCCGGGTGCGGTCAAGGGATGGCTCCCTATTGCTCAACCACGTTATGTATGCCGATGATTTGGTAATGGCTGCTCATTCAGAGGAGGAGTTGGAGACGCTGCTGCTGAGACTGGAGCGTGCCACTAAGAGATGGGGCCTTAGCATCAGCCCCACCAAAACTAAGCACCTTTCTGGGTATTTTGTACCATCGGACACTCCACCCCCACAACTCGCAATCGGTGATGGGGCAGTTGTGGAGAGAGTGGAGAGTTTCCCATACCTGGGCAGTGTGCTTATGACCGGCTCCAGTTTAACAGCAGAGGTGTCACTCCGAATCAGTCGAGCGGCAATATCTTTTAATCGGTTGTGTAATGCTGTGTGGAAGCTACCTGGTCTGTCGCTCCGCACTAAGCTTCAGGTCTTCTCGGCCACGGTCATTCCCTCACTTCTCTACGCTTGCGAAACGTGGACCCCCTAATGGAACATCTTCGCCGGTTAGAAACATTTAGGCTAGCCTGCCTACGATCCATCCTGGGTTTAACCAGGCTGGATTGTGCGAGGAGCTCACAAATCTTTGAAAGATCTGGGCAAGGTCCCATCGGTGAGCTCCTCCGGCAGGCAAGACTGCGTTGGCTGTATCATGTAGCCCGCATGCCCAGCCATCGCATGCCGAAACAGCTTTTGTTCGGCCGGATCGAGGGGGCTAAACGGGCGCGGCGCGGCACGGGCTAGAGAAGAGATGGAGTGATGTGGTACAGGAAGACGTGGAGCTGAGTGGACTTGCCGATGACTGGTACCAGCGGTGTCAAGATCGGCCTCTGTGGAGGCTCGTGAAGGACGCTACTGGGCAGTTGGAGGTAGTCGCCCTCCAAAAACAACGGAGGGCGGAGGAGCGACGCTCACAACAACGAGCGGAGCGCCGGGTGGCTAAAACACAGCAGGTTGGCACAGTAGGGGGCACAGGTGGTGCATCAGCCAGTCATCTTAGTGAGTCGACCCGTGGCACTTGGGTCTGCCCCGTGACCTCCTGCCCGCGGGCGTTCGACACTTCACGTGGCCTCAAGGTGCACATGGCCTGGCACAAGCGTCGTGGTGACGTCACCGCCACTTAGTGGCGAATGGCGGTTGTTGTTGATGTTGTGTTGCGTGTGTTTGTGTGTGTGCGTGTGTTTGTGTGTGTGCGTGTGTTTGTGTGCGTGTGAGCGTGTTTGTCTTTGTGTGTGTCTTTGTGTGTGTGCGTGTCTTTGTGTGTGTGCGTGTGTGAGCGTGTTTGTCTTTGTGTGTGTTTGTGTGTGTACGTGTTTGTCTTTGTGTGTGTGCGTGTTTGTCTTTGTGTTAGTGCGTCTTTGCTTTTGTGTGTGCATGTGTTTGTGTGCGTGTTTGTTTTTGTGTGTGTGCATGTGTTTGTGTGTGTGCGTGTGTGTGCGTGTGAGCGTGTTTGTCTTTGTTTGTGTGCGTGTTTGTCTTTGTTTGTGTGCGTGTGTGTTTGTCTTTGTGTGTGCCCCAGAAAACGTGGAGCGCGCTTATTAAATAGCCACCTCCACGTCTTTCGGCGCCTAAAAAGTAATTTGTCCGAGCCAAATTTAGTTTGACTGGAAATGGAGTTTGGTTTTTATTGCTGATCATGTTTGTGCACAGTTTGTGTTGTTGCTGTTAGATGTTTGATCGCAACTCCGTTGTTTTTGCCCCGATTTCTATTTCGTGTATTTTTTTTGCTCCCGATGTCTGCTTGCTTGTTGTTGTTGTTAATTATATTTGGTTGTTTTTGCTCTGGATTTATACTGTGGTCGTTTTGGATCTCGTTCGTCTTTGGCCAGGGAAGACTGGCGAACCGGCGGCAGCGGACAGCTGGAAGTTAGAGGAACCCTCTTCTAAATCTTCAACATCACAGTGCTGTCCCCTACTGTGTGGGCTCGATGTCACTTCTCGAAGCGATCTCAGAAGTAGTTTGGTGATATCCGCTTCAGTGGACCGTTCTCAAACCTACGAAAGTTTGTACTACCTTTGCGAGGGTTCCGTCTTATAACGTGACCCCCGCTGAGCGCGCGACCGGCAGGACGTTCATGGGAAAAGGCCAAAAACGAAGCGGGAGGATTGCGGTAACCTCGAATTCCATCACGTGATTCCGCACATCTCCCACAAGGCAACCCCTCCACACCGAAGGGTAACATCAGCATCGCACGGGTTCAAACATCACCCCTGACCACCACTTCTTGGCGACAGCAAAATAACGAACACTCGCGTCGCGCCTGCTGTGTGTGGGAAGGCAGGCAGGCAAGGCAGGCGAGGCATACGAATGGTGCGTGTGGCGCATGTGGTGCGTGTGGCGCGTGTGTGGTGTGTGTGGTGCGTGTGTGGTGCGTGTGGTGCGTGTGGTGTGTGTGGTGTGTGGTGCGTGTGGTGTGTGTGGCGCGTGTGGTGTGTGTGGCGCGTGTGGGCGCATCCGTGGTAGCTTGCTCGAGCCCTGACAGGAGAGCGTGCAGGGGGAAGGGCGGTGGCGCGGTGCACGCGCCGAACATTCACCGTCTGTATTTTAATTGTTTTGGGGTACACTTTAAAAATAAAATAAAGCCACGCACGACCGTTCGCTTTTTACTCGTTCGTTTGAATGACCAATGAGAAGCGCGCGGTGAATTCTCATTTTTAGAGGACACGTGGTGCAAACGTCGGTGAAAGCGCGACAGTGAAGGTGACAGTAACGAAGACGGTGACCCTGCTCCGCTACGCTAACACGTAGCCAGTGCATTACAATCGGCACAAAAATAAAAACGGCCTTCAAAGCAATTCAGGCGACGGGCTCTCCCCGCTGCGTTATTTCGGGTCGAGCAGTGCGCTGTTTCGCCACGGACGTCCGACGTTTCGGTCCGCGTGCCTGGCGAGCTTTCGCGCATTCCAGCTCCTCGCAGAAGCGCCAGAAAAACCAAGCCGGGCGGAGCCGCGCCGCGGCACCACCTCGAGAACCCCACGCGGGGCAGTACAATTCAGGCCACAGCGGCGTCGTTTCAGTCGACGGGCCTACATCAGGAGCCGCCGTAAACCAGGTCCAGTCGAACGTACGAGCACGAGGGGGCGATGGTTAGCACGGCCGCGGAACCAACGTGGTCACCCTCTGGCCCACCCGGCAGTACAAATGGCTCACGCGACAGTTAAGTCCGTTGGCAGGTCTCGTGCGACGGGGTAAAGTGTGGATTAAGTTCCACCCCCTTCCAAGGCGTCTGGTCAGCGCGCCGAACTTAGTCGGCCGAACGGCGCAAATAGCAGTGGACGCTCCTTTTGGCCAGCAGTAGCGAGAGAGAGCGAGCAGGGCTGCAGGGCTGCGCCTTTACCCAATGTGCGTCTGCTCTCCGCGAGGTCGCGCAGAGTGTACGGCGCTTCGCAAAGCGACTGCTGCTGCTGCTGCTGCTGCTTCCATCGCCGCCGCCGAAAGGCCTCCACAGAGGCCTCCCTGTGTTCGCTGTCGCGACACAGTGACAATGACTGCAATAGCAATGGAGAAGATGAGCGGTAGAAAGTATAAACCAGACCCACTACACATGTTGTGGGTGTAAGGGGGGGGGGGGGACACACGAATATCGTGTATCCTGTTATCCGCGATGCTGTTATCCGCAAATTGACTCTGCTTAACCGTTGAGAAAACATGCACATTCGCGGATTACGGGAAGAACGGATACACGAACACCTCCAGGTTTCTCTCGAGCCAGAGTCGCGACTCGGAGGATTATCCCAATTAGCGGTGAATTCATCGGAAACGATTCCCCGTGCAACGTCGCGTATCTGACTCGCTGGGCGGATATGTGAAGAGGTTGGATTTGAGAGAATTAGTTACGCCACCGTGCACCAATACTGCACTGGGAGCGGGGCGGTTAATTGATCAGGGCGGACACGCGACGGTCGGATAAACGACGCCGTACCATACCGCCGACTCCCGGTTATGCGGGTTTACGGTGAGGGTATATAGGGAGGTGGTTAAGGCGGCTCGGGGTTAAAAGCGGGGATAACGCAACCGAGGCCTGGCCTCCCCCCCCAAGGGTTTTTTATTGCTTCTTCAAGTCGCCGATTTCGGCGGCGGCCGCCGCCGCGGTGGACAATTCTATCCCAGGGATGACAACCGCGAGTTAACACAATAGGGTGACGGAACTTCTTTGACTCTTAACGCTCGACACCGCCACCCCCCCCCCCCACATTTGACAAAACGATGATTTTGACGCGAATGGGGGTGGGGGAGGAGAAGTGAAAATAATTAACGGCTCTTCTCTCGTAGCCGCCGTGTTACGCAAAACAAAAAAAGACTCTCGCTGCTCTTCCATCGGGGAATTCGCTACCGTTAACGACACTACCGAGGACGTCCAGAGGACGGCGACACTGACAATCAGTCGGCTTCAGTCCAGGAAATTCTGTAATTTGGTCACGGCCCAGATGTCCGCATCTACGGCACGGGGACCGTTTAGGTTTTAAATTGATTAGTTTCTACTTTTCGCGAGCGGCCTTTCCGAGCGATTCCCATAATCGAAGCAAGTGCGAGCTCAACCCTTCTGCAGTGCCGGAGCGACCGCTCTGGGCTCGCGTTGTCGCGAGCCGGGGGACGCCCCGGGGAAACCCCTCTCCCGCGAGGGTTCAGGGCCAAACCGAACGGGCAACGTCCGACGTTTCGGCACAGACGCCGAGCGAAAGCGCCCGGCGCGCCGTGCCGGACGGTTTTGCGGCGGGCGGCACCGGCTGGCCAACGCCGGAGGAGAGAGCCGCAACGGCGGGCGGCAATTGCGATAAAAAAGAAACGGCACGCAGCGGTGATAACGCAACAGAATCCGTCGGGAGTGTTTCTAAAAACCATCGCGCTCTCTCTCTATCGCCCGACCTCTTTTACTTTCTGCTGTGCCGCCACCTCATCCACCGACAACCCACGTCTTTCACCTCCTCCTGCTTAGAAATTGCCACGCGGACTTAGGACTGCGAAGCCGAGGGGGGGTGGGGGTGGGGGTGGGGGGGGATCCATCGATGGAGTTTCTCACTTCGCCAGCCCAGGTCTTTCCCGAGGTCACGTGACTCCCAGGGCCTGGACACCACCGCCAAGCACTCGACCGCCTGCTTCTGCCGTAAGAAAAAGTCTGCTGCCGTACAGGCGATGACAACTGATTTTTTTAAAGAGTTAAAATTTTTTTTTAATTATATTGTCGTGCGTTGTTGTCATCCGGCGTAATAGTTTTTGTTTTTGTTTTAGGGGCGTGGGCGCGTGTGCAGGCGGTGGCGATTGGCTGCGTTTGTGACTCGAACGGCTGCGGCGACGCACGTGAGCCGAACGCCACAGCCGGCGCCGAACCTCCCAGCAACATCGCCCAGACCGAAACCAACAAAACAAAACCAACCCAACAAAACAACAATAATCAATTCATTAACGCAAACCCCGTCCCTGTTTCTAACCCCGCGATGACACAGCCCCCCTAGTGCAGCCGCCGTTTATGGAGGGGGGGGGTTAAAATTCTTTAGAGGTCAAGCAGGGGTCGAGACAGGGGTCAAGCAACGGTGTGGTGTGGTTCAAGGTTCAGGAGCCCAAGTCCGTTGCGTTGGGGCGTCCGCCCGGCAGCTTGACGTGACGCGACGAGGTGGAGGTGTTGGAGGACGAGGCGGAGGCGGCGGTGGACGAGGTGGGTGAGGAGGTGGCGGAGGAGGAGGAGGAGAGGGCGGCAGCTTGGAGAGCGGATCGCTCGGACTCGCGGTTGTTCACCGATTGCCTGAGCCGCGACTCGCTCACACGCAGACGCTCCATGGCCGTCTCCAGGCAGTGGATGCGCTCCCGCGCGCTCTGCGTGTGCACGCGAACACGCGCGTGCGTGTGTGTAGGTGCGTGAGTGTGCGTACGTGTGAGAGAGAGAGAGGGTACGTGTGAGTGTGTACGTAGAGAGTATGTGTGTGTGTGTTCTTGTGCACGTATGCATGTACGAGTGAGTGCATGTGATTGTAAGTTCATGCACGCGCGAATGCACGTGTGGGTGTATGAACGAGCGAGTGTGTGCGCGCGCATGCAAGTGTGTGCGCAAATGTGTGAAATGCATGTATGTGCGTGTACGTGTGTGCGTATGTGTGTGCACGTGTTTTGAGAATTTGTGGTGAGCGCAAATACAGGGTGCGCCGGTTACACGCACCGTCACATTCTGGTCGTTGTCGTGCGATCGACCGCTTCCTGCCATAGCAATGTGGATTTTCCAGCACTTCTCCAATGGAGACAGAGCACCATCCAACTCTTCGTGGAGCAAGGGGAGTCAATAACCCTCGATTTTATTCTCTATCGCAGAACTGGTGCTACGTAAATAAAGGTTATGTTGATGATGATGATGATGCTGCGAGTCAGTGGGCCTCTACGCAAAGTCTATGGGTCTCTTCGTCAGTAATCAGTGACCGGGCGGAGACCATCAACTCGCCACACTGGGGAAATCCGCTTGAACCACCGCGGCCGGACGGCTGCAACCCAGAATCGAACGCAGGATCCTAGCAGTGCCGGCTCAACGGCACACCTGCTTAGCACGGTTGGCTACCTACGATGCGAAAGAAGTTGAACATACATTCATAAGTCTCCGACCCCTATATAACCTCTGCCACCTCGTATGCATGCATGCAGCCAACCGTGCTCATCGGAGGTGCCCACACACCCTCCCAATGTGTTCTGTACCTGCAGCTCTTCCACCAGATCCTGGTTGTGCCGCTTGAGGGAGAGGCAGGTTTTCTCCAGCCTCTCCGCGTCGGCGGAGGTGGCGGCGCCGGTGGAGGACGATGGCCCGCCTGGCTCCTGCAGCGCCATCTCATCCTGCAGCACGTGGTATTCGACTTCGTAGGCGTGAAGCTGGCGCGACAGGTCCATCTCGCACACCTGGCCAACGCACGCACGCACGCACGCACGATCGCACATGATCACACTTATAACACCAGTAACACCCCGGTTTGTGTTGGGGATGCATTCCCCCGCACCTCCGATTGGCACAGTTGGCTATGTACGGTGAGAAAGGAGTTCAACGTACACACGCACGTACGTTGTTGCAATGTGTGACGACGAATATCCAAACGACGTACATCAGAGCGGTTTACAGGGTAGGGTGGAGGCGAAGGCCGAGAGGCGGCGGACACGAGAAAGGACGGACGATGCTGTCGGCGACGTAAGCGTGGGCTGTGGGCGACGCAAATCTGGTGGCGGTGTTGATTAAGCGACGACGTGTTTGCGAGAGAGAGAAACGACTTGGAGGAGCCGCAGACAAGCGGAAAGGCAGCAGCAGCCAACAGTTGCTCTGCGGTCCGTACGTATGTTGAACTCCTTTCGCACCATACGTAGAAAACCCGTGTTAATCGGAGGTGCTGTCCACAATATAAAGGTGTTATCGGCCAGTGAGTGAGTGTTTTTACAAGTGCGAGGAAACCAAAGGATCCAGAGAAAACACACGCGTGTATGTTTAACGATCACGATGATGGCGGTGGTGATGGTGGTGTTATATGTATAGCAATGGTGGCGGTGGTGGTACTGTATTATATCGATGGTGATGGTGGCGGTGATAGTGGTGGTGCTGTACATATAGTGATGGCAGTGATGGTGGTGGTGCTGTACGTACAGCGACGGCGAGTGGCGGTGCTGTACGTATAGCGATAGTGATGGTGGTGGCGATGGCGATGATGGTGGCGGCGATGACATCGCACCTGGTTGATTGTCTTCTCCATTTGCACAAGGCCCAGGTTGGGCAGGGTGGTCTTGAGGAAGTCCATGATGCCCTCGAAGCTGTCGCACTGCATGATGAGTGCCTGATGAGAGCCCAGCAGGGACAGCGCCACCTTGAAGATCACCTCCGTGCCCTGCAGGAACAGCATGTCTGCGCACGCATGCAAACACACACAGACAAAAGGAATAACCGGAGCTGCCACCTGATCCGCCACCAGCCACGCCCCCTCCTAGCATCTTGCCCGCCGGCTCTCGGCTTCCCTTCACGAGCGAGGCTCCAGGCGGTCAGCAGCACTCCTATGCCAGTGGCTGGTGCTAACACTATCGTGACAGCATTTATGTCACTACACACACGCCGGTGAGCATATACACGGGTGTGTCGGCAGGGCGGAGGAACTGGGGCAAGGTTCATGGCAGACCCCATCTGGAAGCCCCTGGAACCCGCTAGTGGGTTCGAGGAGCATAAAAGGAGCAGAGAGCGGGAGCTCAGGGCTGCCAGTTCTGGGAGCGACCTCATCCCGTCGTCGCTGACGTCCTCGCTATATATTGTGCGGCCGGATAGTTGTTGGCCGTCTCGTCAGCGCCATCGGTGTTACACGGTCAGGGTTGTGTTTAGGCTTGGCTAGACGACTCTGGAGAGTGCAAGGGCGAACCTGTGAGGTGTGAAGGTGCTAATAAAGTAGGTGCCTCCTAGAAACCCTTGTCGCCGAATCGCTGACACTAAACATACAGACACGCAGAGATATTGAGACACACGCAGAGATAATGAGACAAAGACATAGACACACACAGATACAGAGACACACATAAACAAGCCTGACCCTCACCTTTAGCCTCGACGGTATATTTTTACATTTATAGAGACACGCAAACACACAGATATATCCATACACACACGTACAAAGACATCCCCCTGTAGCAGCGTTCTTCATTGCAAGGCCCGCAGGCCACTGGCGACCCCTGGTGGCCTTTAGTGCGGCCGCTGACACGACACAACGCGTGAAAACGCCCCCATCGTCGTGCAGCTGTCAAGACTCAACAATGGTTTCATTGTTGGGTCCCCCCTCAACTGAAAATTAGTGAAGAACACTGCCTTATAGTCTCAGCAGACTGTTAGGGGGCAAGCGCCGTCAGCCAGTGGCACCTTTTTCGTCTTTCGTATTCAGGTGGTCAAGCCAGATAACTGCATCAGGAGCAGTAGAGGGGTGTAACCGCTGCGATGTCTCCATCGTATTTGTGGATCAGGGTATTGCGTTGTTATTCGTTGTACGGTCTCTGTTCCGGATGACCACAGTTGCGCACATCTGGAAAGTTTTTTTTATTTTCCATTTGTGCATCAAGGTATCCGCCGTATCTGCCACGGCTTGTGCAGTGGATGGATGGATGCTGTTTCGGGTGGACCATGAGCTTCCACGAGTGGCTACTGAGACGACCGGAGGGGCGGCACGAGGAGGGCGCCCGTACCGAAGACTCGCGCCACGAATCCGAGCGGGAACTGGGATGCGAAGAGCGTGAGGAACCAGGGCGCCGCGTAGAGGCTGGGCCCGATCTCCGACTCCTCCAGGTGCGCGTACAGATCGGGGTGGTAGTCGTGCAGCAGACGAGACAGCTGGTACATCTGAATCTGCGCGGAGACACACACACACACCCCGCACCCTCCGATTAGCACGGTTGGCTACGTACGGTGTCAACGATGTTCCACGTACATACATACGTACACAGACCGGTACACGGCTGGGACACGGGGGGAACAGGGGGACAGTGGCATCCACTTGCACGTGGGCCATTCTTTAACATGGAGGGTTGCTCTGCTCTATAGGAGAGATCAAAATTGACTGCCTCGTGACATGACACCATCATGCCTCTCCCCACCACCACCCCCCATCTCACCTACAGGGACAGCATCATACCTCTCCGCACTACCACCTTCCCCCGCCCCCCCCAACTCACCTGCAGGGACAGCATGTCGGGGCAGTACTGGCGCCGAAGCCCCAAGTGGTAGAGCAGGTAGATGAGTGCGTGGAAGGCGTCGCACTCCGGCAGGTGCAGCAGCAGGACGCCGGCCACGAAGCTCAGGCCCTGGCAGTAGCCCACCTCGGAGTCCAGCAGCGAGTAGGCCTTGAGCAGGTTGTAGAGTGCCAGCTGGCCCGAGCCCAGCTGCGCTGAGAAGTACGGGTGGGTGGGGAACGTGCGGCCTGCAGTGAAGGGGTGGGGGGGGGGGGCACGTAGGGAGAGAGGGAGGGGAAATGAGGTTGGGAGGTGAGAAGGAGTGATGGGGAGGATGAGGGGGGGAGGATCGGTGGCCGCGAGGATGTGCGGTGGCGAGGTGTTGGCGCAAATTGCAGCTCTGCGGGTAATGTTCACGCGGCGCAACCCAGGGATTCAGGGTGACGAGATGAGGCCACGGGGAGGGGGGGGGGGGGAGCTCGGCGATGCCCGGCACCACCCCCCCCCCCCGCCCCCCGGCGTTGCACGGCGTACCCAGGTCGATGAGGATGGCATGCTGCTGCGAGGTGAGCCTCTTCAGCAGCTCGGGGTACGGCGTGTCCGGGGGCGCCTGCTTCGGCGGCAGGCGGTGCCGCAGACGGTACTGCTCCGCCAGGAACTGCCAGATCTCTCCCCGGCGCTGCCGTGGCACGCCTGCGCCGGCGGGAAGTGGGGAGGGGGAACGGGTGAGGGGGAGACGCGGCGCGACCTCCTGTATACCGGGCGAGGCAGTTAACATCTTGCCACCGCGAATAAACAACAGGGGGTCTGGGCCGGGATCGAGCCCAGGAGCTCCTGTACACCAGGCAAGCTCGTAAACATCTCCGAGCCACCGCGACGCCGTCTCCCCTCTCTCTCACCCTGGCTGATGGCGGCGTGCACCTTCTCCATGTCGCAGCGCACGCGAGCGCGGTTGGGCGTGCCCAGCAGGCGCTCCCACACGACGGTGACGTCGCGAAGGCACGGCGTCACCTCCGCGTAGTCCAGACGTGCCTGCGCCTTCTCCTGCTCCAGCTGCCTGCGCGCTGCAGCACGCCACGCGGAGACGGCGGCGAGGGGGTGGGGAGGGGGCGGGGGGCGCGACAGGGGAACCGCGGTGGCGGTGGAACAAACGCGACCGTCAGTCCGAGGTGGCCCAGAAGTTTACTTCCCGAGTAAAGCCCGTTGAGAGCTAAGAAGCTCTTTTTCGAGGCCGACTCGGCCGGCAGACAGCTATGGAGCTCTTTTTCAAATGGTAGCTCAACGAAGTGGCTTATCACGTGGAAATGTACAGCAGCCACATACTCTTGAACGCATGTTGATTCTAAATATGGAGGGAAAAACCGCAGGACCCGGACAAAAATCCCACGTGGCCACCGGGGAGAGAGACGCGCAAACTCCAAATGTACAGGCGTCAGGGTCTGGATCGAACCCACAGCTTCCTGCATACCAGGCGAGGGAGTTAACATCTCGCCACCGTGGCACTGAGAAACAGCTGTGCCAGTTAATCGCAGAAGCTTACGTCTTACCAAGTTCAGTTTGTTCAACAGGGTGAGAAGAAGAACCGGAGAGCACGAGATTAATTTCTCATTTGCATGAAAATGCGACCGACCCGGGTCGCCAGAACGACAAAGGCAAAAATAAACAGAAAGCAAAGCACAGCGATGAAGCGAAATAAAAATCGGTGAAAAAACCAAACGCGTCATTGCAAGAGAAACCTAAAGTATCGCACGGACGTACGTCAATATTAAATAATACATTCCCTGGTGCGCAAGTGGGCTCGGGAAGACTGTCAAGTTTATAAACGCGTCAATCTCGACCGGTGGCGGAGGGTTACTTTACAGGAATTTTTGCACAAAACTACTGCCATGTAGCGCAAACGCATAACGAATATGGACCATCGTATGGATTCATTGTTAAATTTATCATTCACATTGACTGCTACGAGAAGTAAATGGGCTCGGGCAGGGCACGTCGTGGATATCAAAGATGACGGACAGCGGTCGAGACATAGGATGGAGCGGCAGCCAAAGGAGAGGAAACGCTCCCGAGACTACTTCCACCGGGGAGACGGAGCGATGAAATCCAGCGCCGCTTAGAGACGGTTTGACGCATCGCGAGACGGTGAGAGAGAAGGTGGCGGCGGCTTGGTGGAGGCCATCATCCAGGAGTGGATAGAACGTGTCTGGTGACGACGACGATGATGATGGATGGCTTGTTGAAAGCCGACAGAGAGAGAGGGAGATGGCACGAACGTTGGAAGGCACCGCCAATGTGATATCCCTGCGCGCGCAAACGAGAGCCGCGCTCGCTCGTTCGCTCGCCCAGAAAGAATCTCTCATCGCAAAACGTTTGTCTGGATCGCCGGCAGACTGGTGTAGATGTCACCCGATTCAGATAGTACCTCCGATAAGCACGGCTGGCTACGTACCGTGCGAAAGAAGTTCAACATACGTACAAAATACATCGTAACCACAGTCACAGCTAGATAGGTAGACGAGAAAGGCGCACTGGATGTGGTGTTCCGCGTGCGGAGATGTATTTTGCGGATGACAGAACTGGCTGGAGAAAGGAATCCCCGATGCTATGAGCAGCCGGGAAACGTGGGAAGCTCCACTGCTCGCGTGACTCATCGCAGCGAATCCCGTCGCCACCTCCCGCGCGTGCAAATCCTCGGCCATGTCTGCATGGAATCGCTTCAATTCAATGCTCGGTAAAAAAAAAAAAAAAAAAAAATTCCTTCCAAACCGAGGTTGACGATCGCTCCGGGGGCTGCGGCGGCGACGAAGCCACGACGTCGTTGTCACACCGCTGGGAGAGCGGACGCGCGCTGGGGCGTTGTCTTTCAGCGCAACTCCCGGCCGGCAATTCCCACAGGAATCGGGGGGTGGCGGGCGGGGGGGTTGGGGTGATAACCAGCGGAGTGGAGAGATGACAGCACGGGACCCCCTCCCCCCCCCCTTCCCGCACCCCCCCAGATATTGTTTTCAAATCGAAGTGCGAGTAAGCAAGGCCAGCCGCACAAACGAATAATGAATGGACAGACGGTCAGACGGATGCTTGGAGAAAGATGGAGGGAGACAAGAGGTACTTATTTGTCCGGGGATGGACAAAGACGAGACAAAACAAGAGTGAGACGGGCACGCGCGCAGACGAGAGATGATGCTGATATCTGACCTTTGGAAAAAAGCAGCATCTTCGGAGGAGAGACGGAGGGCTTCAAAAGAAGGCAGCCGCGCCTACCCAACTGCTCCGAATTGTTTTGGACACCGAGTGAAGGGAATAACTAGACGCTTGCAGGTGAGACCAGAGCACAATGCCAGATCGCAACAACAACAACAACAACAACAAAGGGAGGAGAATGCCTTTGCAGGTCGTGCCGTGCAGCGAATGAGGGCACGACGCCGTTGTTGCCGCTGCCTATCGCTGGCACTCGGTGACTCATCCCCACGCACACGCACGCGCGAGCGTGCTTTCGGCGCGCGCACAACGGTACATACGCACGAACGCCCACGCCAGCAGTTGTGGGCCGAGCTGGGCTGCCTCTGGGTGGGTGGGGGAGAAACATCCAATTACCCGAGACGGTGATTCACCCGGGAGAAAGTGTGAGCCCACGGCCGTCGATGCGATGCTAGAAAGGTTATTGAAATGCACGCGCGGTCGCCCGTGTTTGAGTTTCGTGCTGGGGGGGGGGGGGCGAGGCGGGCACGGGGGGGGGGGGGGGGGGGGACAGAAATGGTGGGGAGGGGGGCAGGCGGGGGGCACTGAATTGCCGGTAGACCAGTGTTATCGGTCAGCTCCATCTAACACCGCCAAATAAAATAAAATAATTTAAACTGAAACATCTGTGTAGATTAATAAATTAATGATACAGGAGGACGGCAGTGGGGTGTGGGGCGGGGGGGATTGTGACTCAGAAAGATGACTCCAATGTGCTGGGCATTGCCGATCGGTGCGGAACAGTACCGCCAGCATTGCTCCGACCCTGCCGATCACTCGAAAAGTGACAGTGCCACCATCACCACCACCGGCTAAAATGGTATTTACCCGGCAAAACCTGGCAGCCGATTAATGAGAAAAATTATGACTCCACACAAGGCAACGTCAAATCGCACTCACCGCACAGGGCACAACCATGTAGCAGCACCACACAAATATCATCACCCCACCCACCCGCATCTTCCCCCCCCCAACTGTCCCAGCACAGACCCTTCTGCCACCTCGCCCCCCCCCCCGCCCGTCACGCCAGGCCCCCCCCCCGTCCCCCGCCCCAGGGCACATTACATTGGGAACAATCTGTCTGGTGACGTCAAGGATCGCCAAGCCCCTGCGAGCATTCCCACTCGACCGCGTCACACCGTCTGGCTCGGATCTCCCGCCAGCACATCGAGTGCATCGCATCATCGCATCATCGCGTGCTCAACGCTCCCCTCCACGCGCACGTCACGCCAACAGCGCATTAAAGTCCGGCGCTCAAGTCTGCATCATATCGTGAAAGTAGGTCACAACGCGTGGGCTCGGGGGCAGCCACTGCTGCTGACCGATAACACTGGTCTACCATTTTTTAAAAGGTCGTCTGCTTCAGAGATGAAATGTGCTGTCTGTTATGGATTTTGATGTGCTGAATTCAAATTTGACAATTAAAATAACTGATTGGCTACTGTTCCCAAGATATTTTTTTACATTTTACGTTTTACTCATGAACCTAGTTTTTTTCATGTGTTTATGGTCGCTTTACATGATAACATGTCACCTGTCCTGTTCATGTAACACTTAAACAATCAGCAAAAGGGTTACATACAGAAAATGTATTATGAAACAAAAGGCAATAAACGATTGTGTATATATAAGTACATAGTTTAATCCTTATTCAGTGTCTACTCGGTGCTTCTTGGCTTGTCTCTTGTATTCATGAAAAGGAGTATCTCTTGTCACTGCCCAGCAATAGTCTGCGAGCATTTCTGGGCTCCATTTGCCCTGAGAGCGTTTCTCCATTGTGGCAATGTCCTGGTGGAGTCGCTCGCCACGCTCGTAGCTCACTGCTCCGCAGTTCGGTGGGAAAAAAAATCTAGATGAGAGTGCAAAAAATGTATCTTTAGTGACATGTTGCAACCAAGGCGTTTGTATGCCTTGAGGAGGATTTCCACCAACTCCCCGTAGTTGTCTGCCTTGTTGTTTCCGATAGAATGTGTTGCCACTAACTGGAAGGCTTTCCATGCCGTCTTTTCCTTGCCACGCAGTGCACTGTCAAATGCATCATCTCGAAGAAGTTCACGAATCTGAGGACCAACAAAGACACCTTCCTTTATCTTAGCTTCACTTAACCTTGGACATTTTCCAAGGAGGTACTTGAAAGCTGCTTGTGTTTCGTCCATGGTTTTGACAACGTTCTTCATCAGACCCAGCTTGATGTGGAATGGTTTTAACAAAATCTTCCATGATTCAACAAGTGGTGGATGCTGAACACTTTTCCTCCCAGGCTCCAATGACTGTCGGAGTGGCCAATCTATCTTGATGTAGTGGGAATCTCTCGCACGATTTTCCCATTCGCAGAGAAAACAGCAGTACTTTGTGTATCCAGTCTGCAGACCAAGCAAGAGAGCCACAACCTTCAAATTGCCACAAAGCTGCCACTGATGTTGGACATAGTTTATGCACCTCAAAAGTTGTTTCATGTTGTCATAGGTTTCCTTCATATGGACTGCATGACCAACTGGAATTGATGCCATGATGCAGCAAAACAGCTTTGAGACTCATCTTTGATGAATCAATGAACAGTCTCCACTCATCTGGATCATGAACGATGTTGAGGGCTGCCATAACACCATCGATGTTGTTGCAGGCTACAAGATCACCTTCCATGAAGAAGAATTGGACAAGATCCTTTTGACGGTCACGGAACATGGAAACCCTAACATCACCTGCCAGGAGATTACACTGCTGCAGTCTGGAGCCCAACAGCTCTGCTGTACTCTTGGGTAGTTTCAAATCCCTGACAAGGTCTTTCAGTTCACCTTGTGTTATGAGGTGTGGTTCAGAGGAGGAGGATGGGAGAAAATCTGAGTCATGTGACCTTGGTGGTTCAGGACCAGAAGTTTCATCCTCTTCCTCGTCTGACTCAAGTGAGAATGATTCTGGTGCATCAGGAACCGGCAGTCCTTCTCCGTGGGGTACTGGGCGTATAGCTGATGGCATGTTTGGATAATGCACAGTCCACTTTTTCTTCTTGGACACACCTTTCCCAACTGGAGGCGCCATGCAGAAGTAGCAATTGCTGATCTGATCTGTTGGCTCTCTCCAAATCATTGGCACTGCAAAAGGCATAGATTTACTTTTCCTGATTTGTTGCACACGTGTTGCAGCATATGTGTGGGGCCCACATCTTGTCCTGATCTCCAATTTTGCAGCCAAAATCAAGGCGATAGGTTTTCTTAACCATAGTGGTTATACTGCGCTTTTGTGATGCAAAAGTCACTTCACCACAAACATAGCAGAAGTTATCTGCTTTGTTCACACAAGTACGAGGCATCTCTGCTCACTTTGGCTGAACAGAAATGTGTCCCTTTGCAAAATCAAACACTGACAAATAAGAGAGCACGACACTGTATGATTTCTAGAGCTGATTTCGGGCAATTTGTTCAGCAGAGAGATGTAAGCCTACTTATGGTTGCATCATCCATGACTTACAGGAATAACATGATGCAATTCATATCATGTATGACGCAATACCAGGTTCAGATTGCATCATTCATTGTTTTGCTCAAAAAGCAACTACTGTCCAAACCCAGTCAAAGATGTATTCATAGATGCAGTCAAAGATGTATTTTGATAATTTGTTGCTTAAATTGAGATCCCTTTCTTTTATAACTCACTTATCCGCCGCCATTCCCAGGTCAAGGGTCATATATACTGACCCGGTAGCATATCTTGAAGACTAGAGCCAATCAACAAGGTTAAGCGTCATCTCTATTCTCGGTGACCCAGAATGAGTAAAGTCGAACTATATTTATTTCGGAAGCATTTTGGCTGTGGACCAGTGTATAAGCCGAGAGCATCTGGGACATGGGGGGGGGGGGGGTGCCGAGCGGCCGACGAGATGGCGTGGATCGTCGGTGTGGTCACGGCGAGAGGTGGACAGGGGTGATTGGCCCCGTGCACGCCCCCGCCCGCCACCGCCCCACCCAACGGATCACCGCTGGCTGTTTTCTCTGTTGTGTGAACTAAACAAATTTGTATTTTACCAGGTAAGGTCCACTGAACGACAGGGTGCTTACATTTTTTTTTAACACTAATATGGGACTATCGTTTTTAATGGAAGAACGGATAATGCACTGTAACGCTTGTTCGCCATCGTTGTCAACACGTGGCCTGGAATTTTCTCCAGGTGGTCTCCAGAGCCCGGAGGCGGCAGCACATTCCTCGTGGTATTGTTGCGAATTCTCGGAAGCGTTCACATTTTTTTGAAGCACCCTGTATATAGTTCTTTTTCAGAATCAGCCTCGCCAAAAATGATAGCTCAAAGAAGTGGCTTATCATCGTGTGGAAATTTATAACAGCCAAATGCTCTAAATGCATGTTTCTAAATGTGAAGGGCAAAAACCGGAGGACCCGGAGAAAAACCACGCGACCACAGGGAGAACACGCAAACTCCAAAAATGCATGTGTCCGGATCGAACCCCACAACTTACCAGGCGAGGGAGATAACATCTCACCACCACGGCACCCCCGCATGGAAACCACGCAACAACAACCACACAATCACACCTTCGCGGAAGCGATTCTGCCGCTCCACGCGGATGAGCAGCAGCTGCTGGTCAATCGCCTTCCTCCAAAGCTGGCGCAGCTCCACCCGGGAGAGCGCGTGGCGCTCCCCGCCGCCGCCACCCGTCTCGATCACGATTGGCTCGTCCGCCGGCGGCGCCCGCGGCCCGGTTGGGCGCATCACGGGCGACTCGTCCCCCATTGGCTGGAAGTCGGAGTCGAACAGCGAGCCGATTGGGCTCTCCTCGAGGGGCGGAGTCAGCGGCGAGAGAGGGAGAAGCTCGCTGCCGTCTGAACGGGGGTTGGGGATCAGATGGGCGTGAGTCCAATTAATTTAGTAATCGGTGCGTGGATATTTGTTTACGTTAATTTATGCAACACTCGTCGGAGCACATAAGACGTATTCAGAATCCACAATGGGCGCCAAAACTCGCCACGCACGATTTCATGCTGACCTCTAACTAACCTGACCTCTATCCTGCCCCCTTTAAACCCAAATCGCACACACCACCTATGGGCCCCCAAAATCAACTCTGATTGTGGCTGCAACATTTTCCTTCCTCTTCTTCCGAAGCAGCAGCGCTTGCGCCCGCACACCCCGTGCCCTCCCTCAAACCGCCCCCCCCCCCCCCCCTCCCACCACCTCGTCGCTCATCGTCGACTGCGGTTGGCGGCGGCGACCTCTGACCTCTAGCGGCTGCGGCGGCGCGGGAGGCGGCGCAGCTTTTCCCCGGAGCGACGACGCGCAGGAAGATGTGCTGGCGCCACGAGATGCGGCGCTGCCGCGCGGGGGGACAGCTCGGCCGCCCGGGGGGGTTGTGGCCCCCCAATTCAGCCCAGACCCCCCGCAGGGAGGCGCCGGAACCGGAGCCGCCCCAGTCGAGGTCACTGTGGGTGATGATGGTTGGGTGCAGGGGGGCAGGCGGGAGGGGGGTCGCACGGAGAGACAAACGGACGCACGCACAAATGCACACGCGCGCGCGCGCGCACCGTGCGAGTGAATGAGTACAGGGGGAGGTGGGTGCGTGTACATACGTACTGACGTACTCATAATGACAAACACACGCACGCACAAAAACAACATGACAACAAGGAGACGTCACCGGGGCCCTTGTGCCGGGACAGGTGCACACAAAAACACACAAACAATTCTACACAGACAAAACGTGTACGAAGAAAGATGCCCCGTATAGCGTTGAGCAATACTTTTTGGGCAAGTGCTGTTAGCAAGTAGCACCTATGAAGGCTGGAACGGCGCACGAGGAAGTGGGTAGCCACCACCAGGCCCGGCCGCCTTTGCTTCCCCAGTGGCGATGTTTACACACCGCACTAGGTACTCATTTGAGGCTGAGTCGACCTAGGGGATGCCTAGGACCGTTTCAGAAAATCGCCACTGCTGTTGGCCGTGAGCGGGAATCGAACCCGTGTCGCCAGAATAGTAGTGCACACATACACATTCACACATAATTAACCGCATAAACACACAAATACTGACTGGCATGAACACACACACACACACAGCTACACACTTTACACATCGGGCAAAACACACACGCCACGACACACACGCTGGTACGACACAATGAGGTGGGGCAGCATCTGAACACAAACGAGGAAGTTATCGTTGGTTATCTTTGGAATGAAATCATTGCGTCGACACAGGTGGCCATCGTCTCGCCACCACAGAGTAAAAACAAAAATCAACGCGGAATCTCTGACACCTCGAGGGGGGGGGGGGGGGGTTAAGTACGGTTGATTAACACGGATTGGGGGTTCATTGGGTGAACAAGTCCCGTGCAGAACGCGCATAGGCGGTGACGCACGAGTGAGGGGGGAGGGGCGGGTTATTGTGCGGCTCCACACCCGAGCGATCGTTTGAGCAACCAAAAGTTGTCGCAATTTAAAAAAAGAAAATCGACCGCCACTGCTTTGCCCACATCCGAGCGAACGGTCGCGCAACAGGGAACAGTCAAATTTCGATTTAAAGCTTTCGTGACTGCAAGGATTCATCTTCTTTGGTTCTTTCGGTAAAGTCACGTAGAATGAGAATAAAATAATAAATTGATCAAATAAAATAACACAATAAAATTCTCACGACGTTTCGGCCACAACACAAGTGGCCTTCATCAGGTGAAGGGACGGGACTGTCTGGAGGACAGCGCTGGAGTGAACACAGCCAAGCTCAGACCGCGACCTTTAAGCTGTGTGAGAAGAAACAGAGCGCCTTGACAAAGGAATTAGCATAGAATTTAGCATTGAAATAGCTGAGTGATTAGCTTGTGACTGGTCACAGAAATAGCTATGTTAAAGTCAAAGCCTACACATCCACAGAGGCACCATGTACTAGGTGGAGAATGTTATTGTGTTAATTTATTTGATCAGTTTATTATTTTATTCTCATTCTACGTGACTTTACCGAAAGAACCAAAGAAGAAGGGAACAGTCAAACGGTGAACTTTTACCCGCGATTGTATCGATCAAATCGTACCTCGTGGACGAGTCACGTGGTGATGAATTACGTCGCTACACAAGTGGCAAAGCAGATCGACGCTCGGAAGTCGACTTTGTTGTCTCCAATGCGTGCAGCGACCGGCTGCGTGCAATTGCTCGCAAACCGATTGCAGAGACGCCGACGTGCAAACGAATCGGATGCATGCCACAAAGTTTGCGCAAATGGTTCGCTCGGACGCGGCTCCCCGGCTATGTTGTTCACGAACAAAATTACTGTAAATGGGATGCCTCAATCAGCTAGGGTTGCCACCTGTCCTAGGATTGCCCTCTTGTTGAGAACATAGTCCTGAGTGTTCCCCCTAGGACATTAACAGTTCTGGTTCTTGTGACTTGTCGTAGTAATAATAATACGCTACTCAAGACGATGCATTCAAATGTAGTACTCCCCTAATCCACCACTGTAAGATATTTTTCTTCTTCCCATGATATATCCCAATTATTTTCGACCTCACAGTATGCACGTTGAACTTCTCTCGCACCACCATACGTAGCCAATCTTGCTAATCGGAGGTGCGGGGAAGGACAACAAACTAAACACAGGTGGCAACCCTACAATAATCAGATAGATCCCTCCCCCCCCTCCAACACCGTCTGCAAGGAGCGTAGCGATCAAGCCCCCGCGCGATCCGGTGACGATTCAGGGCCGCCGAATCACGTGACGGCCTATAGTAGCTGCATCGGTCGCAGGGAATTTGCTGCACCCAACAACATAGACTGCACTGTACTTAACGAATCGGTAAAAACAAAAAAGTTGAATCTCACACGTGCTCAGGAAATGATGTGAATTAATTAATCAATACATTGTTACATCTCTGGGCAGTTCCACTCATCAGGCAACCAGTCAACATTGGTGAACTCATCCTAGTAAGGCATACCCTAATAAGACATACCTTAGCAATACATATCCTAATAAGACACACTCTAGTAAAACATTCCCTAACAATACATACCCTAGTAATAGATACCCCAGTAAAAGATACCCCAGTAATACAAACCCTAACAATGCATACTCTAACAATACATACCCTAATGATACATATCCAAATAAGTATCATTAGAGTACGTCGGACACCACCGCGGGATTTTTCCGAGGGTTCCCCATTGTCCCCGTCCCCCACCACAGCCCCCCGGCAAAAGAAACGTGACGCGCATCATTTCCACGTGAATCACGGCCCTAATTGGTGGCGGAGATATCACTCCCAAAGCGGACAGAGTCCAGCGCTTTAATACGCCACGCGATCTACCCGCGTGTTTAAAGCGTCTCGAACGTTCGCCCCCGATGGCGAGGCAACCCCTGGCGGCTCACGGAGCGATGTCCCACCGCGCAGGTCGTGCGCGGTGGGACACGCGCGGCAACGGGGGGCCGTCATCTTCCCATGCACAGCATGCCGAGAAGGTTCTGCCCGCGTTTCTTGCCGTCCGTAAAAAAAAAAAAAATGAATTCCAGCCGTTCTCAATCCACCGGTGGACGCCACGGTGGCTAGGAGATGTTGACTACCTCGCCTGGCATGCAAGAGAGCGTGGGTTCGATCCCGACCCTGACGCCTGCATATGTGGAGTTTGCATGTTCTCCCCCGTGGTCACGTGGCTATTTCTCCTCCACATTTATAAACATGCATTTGAGAGTATTTGGCTGCTATAAATTTCCACGTGATAAGCGACTTCTTTGGGCTATCATTTGTGGCCAGGTCGCTTCTGAAAAAGAGCTACATAGCTCAGTGGGCCTTACCTGGTAAAAAAAAAGTAATCCTGGCAATCAAACTCAGGCTGCTGGGTTCACAGTGCAGCTCTAATCACTGTGCCCACGGCTCCCATCCCGTTATCCTGTCAAAAACACATTCCAATCTCCCTACCTCCCCCCTTCCCACCCGGCCCAGTATATTACAACTCACAAATACATACAAAATGTCACCTTAACCGTACACGTTTGAAATCGTGGAACTGCCCCGCCAAACACCGACACACGGCACCCAAGGTTTAGAGGTAACAATCACATGGCCATCGGCGTTAACTTTGCTCAGGAAGTTCATGGCAAACCCAGTGATTAAAATTTTAAGCCAACGATGGCTACGAGTGGATGGACATCAATGAGCCTGACGATCACTGCACTGCTGGACATCCGTGAAAAAGAGCTACATAGCTCACCGGATTTATCCAGGATAAATATTATGATGATTCTGATGCAACCACCGATGCCCACCGAAGAGCAAAGCGTGACCGCCAGTGAAGAGGCAAAACGAACGAGTCTGAATGAAGAGGCAGACAGAAGTGAGTTAGTACCGTTATCAGAGACTGCGCTGTTGCACTGAGGAGCGCCAAATATGGCACATCAAACAAAGCAATTGGCAATCTTACATAGATTTATATAGCACCTGAGTTCAAGGTGCTTTTACAATAATTCTGAAATCGTACAAAAGATCCTAGTGGTTAAAATAGAGAGTGCGGTTATTAAACGTGGTGGTGGTTGTTCAGTTTTGGAGGACAAGGTGAGAGTGGTTAAGGAGGGGTCGGGGTAGGCCTGGTTGTAACTGGGTCGCAGCAGCAGGATGAGCTAGGGAGCAGAGATGGGTCGTTTTCGGGGAGGAACGGAAGCGGGTTCGTGAAAATATTTATCGTTTTGATTTATTTTGCGAGAATTTTATTGTAATATATTTTTATTATTTTATTGTTTCCCTTCTACGCGACTTTATCGAAAGAACCAAGAAGATGAATATTTAGCGGGTTTAATGATTGGCTGATCTGATGATAGCGGGCGGGCGGAGGTGGTGGCGGCGGGGGAATTTAATAACTAAGAGCGTTTGAGTGAATGTGCGATTGCTTAGGTCGATGAGACTGTGAGAATGAATGAATGAATGAGCGAACGGAATCCACGAACGGGAGACTCGGCTAAAACTGTGCAGCTTGTCATCGGCAAAACTTGGCCGAAATCAGAATAAATAATCATGTAATTATTTACATTTATAAGGCAGAATTCATCCACGGCCTGCCTTGATTAACCCCGATAGCCACGAGCTTCCCGATCAGCACCACCGATATGGTTGGGTCAAGGCAAATCCACAGCGGTGGCTAAAGGAAGACGCAGCCACAAACAATAGCAGGCTGGCACACCAAGTCTCGAAAGCAAACCTTCATTAATTTACGTTTTGGAATTCTCCCTAACTCTATCACGATTACATCGCTGCGAAGGTTTTCATGGCGATGCTGCTCTCTCACAATGCCCTTTAGGGTTGCGTAGCGCGCTGTTCGGTACGATGTTCGACGTTTTGCTCCCGTGCCGAGGGATTTTTCAGGAGTTGAAATGTCAGACGTCGTGCCGAACAACACGAGGAACAAGCCGAATCTAGATCGGCGAGCTGTCCCGATTGGGCTTTCGGCGTCATGGGTTAAGCCGAAGAATCCACTTGTTAGAGAACGATCCACAGAAGCGGATGCCACAAAACTACTTCTGAGATCCATTCAAAGTGACCTCTGGTTTAGACAATAGAGGGCAGCAACTTTCCCCACTCAAACCTGCTCCAGAGAGGAATGTTCGTCGCACGACATGTCAAACAAATATTTGTATTCTCAGGGATGCAATTTTTTTGCCAAATTGAGTGCAGAGACACATTTAACGCAAAGCGTTTTGTTGCGCGGCCATTGTGTTTCTGGGCTGTAACAATAGGCGGCTGTCTGGATATATACCTAAAATGTCAGCCAACATCATATAGAACATCCATTACCCCCTGTCATCTGTGCCGTGTACTATCTGCCACGGTTACTCATACAAGCTCAAGATCCTACCCTCCCCTCCTGCTCCCTCTGCCCCGGCTGCGTTGCCCAACGAGGCTTGGAGCTTGTAAAGGGGTGTTGCCCGCCAGCTCAGACGCGTCTTCCTTTATCCTCGTTAGGGAGGGTGAAATCACTGCTGTATCATTTACAGCAGATGCCCGGATTCGGCTTTCGCGCTGGACGCGGGGGATGAGAAAACCTGGGGGTTGATTAATTTGTTAATTAATTTGCCCATAATCAACCTGACCGCCCACCACCAGCGACGCTATAATCACATACGCCGTACCGCCCCCCCCAGTAAGCCCCTTGCGTGCCCGCCTCACCCCTTCCCCCCTCCACACCAGCGTTCGTACCCAGACCCCCCATGCTCGGCCACAGGGTTTAGCATCCGCAGGAGACTCGGCGAGGAGGCCGAGGCTGTGAGGCGGTGGCGCGGGTCGGCAGGGCGAGCCGGCACAACGCTAGCGGCACACGCGCACGTACACATGGGGGGCGCGCGTCACACACGCGCACGTGCAGTTCAGTTTTAATCCGTGTTGGAAACGGCGCTTCCGCATTACCGCTTGTCCCTCGACACATCAGGGCGGGGGGCGGGGGGGGGTGGGAGGCAGCGACGCGAGGCTAGCGCTCGTTACGCAGGTTCACGAATAAAACCGGTGACCGCCCTGCTTTAATATCAGGAGTTCATGCGGCGGGAGCCAACGACGTGCATGAGAGTCGGGGAAAATGACACCGCAATGGAATCGCGCGCGTCACGACCCGAATAGTGTTTACCGTCACAACCAACAAATCGTCACAACACACGGGTCGAACGCAGCAGGCCTCTAACCCCGCCATGTTATGTGCACCATCGCCCAGACAACTTTAGCTGTGTGTGTGTGTGTTTTGCGGAAAAACCCTCAGAAGCCACTGTCCAGAAGGCTGGAATTTTTGTCGAATATTCATGGGTCATTGCTAAATCTGGCCGAGTGTTGTTCTCCATCTTACCGGTGAACGCTTGCACGCACGACGATCTGATTTGTCTGGCTGTATCAAGGTGGTGGAGGTGTCACGGCGAAAAAAGAGAAAACCCCGTTGCCAGACCGTTACGTGGCCTAAACAATCCAATTATGATCCCGTATTAACCAGGACAGCCACTTGGGCACGAAACGCAAATCTCCGCAACAAACGCGCTATACATTTATATACACCGCGCGGTTAAGTCAAGTCAAGTAAATCAAATTGTTTCTTAAACAAGTGTCGACTTTCCGGCACAAATCTGCCGCCACTCAAAGCGCAAATCATGCGTAGCTCCTCCCCCTCCCCCTCACTGACCTTCTCGTAGCAGAGGCAGGCTGCTGCTGCTGCTGGTGCTGCTGCTGCTGGTGCTGGCTGTTGAGAAGGTATTTTAGCAGGCCGGGAGCAGAAGGGGAAGGATGAAGAGTAGCAGGGCCTGGGGAGGCCGGGGAGCCGGAGAGACTACCCTCTCCCTCCCCTTCCCCGGGACTGCGAGGAGGACGACGATGACGGGAGGAGAGAGAGAGAGGAGAGACGCAGGGACGGAGGAAGACAGCGCGGAGAGGGGACGGACAAATGCACACAGAGGAAGGACACGGAGGACGAGAGGCGAATGTCGACAGGCGGTGACGTTGATGAGGAAAGATCCCAACCGAATAATATGAATGGCTCATATTTTGTCGCTACACGCCGAGGCCGTGCGTCTCGCTGGGCATTCCTGACACGGCTCTCAGGCTCCGGCCCACACGTTTTTTCACTCGCGCGATCAGACCAAGGATGAAACATTCTATTACAAAGAATAATATCGGTTGCGAAAGCGTACGTTGTATATTTTAAGGGCCGTTTGTTATTTCGGTCGATCATTCCTCTAACAAGGACACCGCAAAGGCAGCAGCAGAAGAGCAGAGCAGAGCACGCAAAATGACACACGGCGATCTACATGGAGCCCAAGAGGGAGGGGTAGGAAAGGTCCGTGGGGGCGTTCGAGAACTCGGGCGTTCATGGGCTCGGGAGACGGGAGAAACAAAACCAAAACACTCAACCTCTTACTTTTCTATAGAGCACAGACCGGCGCATGCGAGGCAGGGAGAGTGGGACATGCAAGGCAGGGGGAAGAGGGCAAGCAAAGAGGGGTGGGGGACAGCACGAGCAAGGGGGCAGCCAATTCAGGCAACGGGCGGGGGAATCTACCACGGCTCCAACGTGCCGGAGAAGACCCGCGACTTTGTTTCACCTGGCCCGCAACCACACACGCGGCCTACTACTAGGAATGGGCCCGCCAACGACATTTAGCCCATAAACAAGCTCCGTGGCCACACTAATCGGGCGCTAGAGAGCAATGTTTTCGACCTGGGTCGTTCGGGTCATTCAAGTCGTTCGGGTCGTTGGAGGTCGTGAGCGAAGGGTGGCACCCACCCTTTGCGATGGTGCGTCTCGCTGTGGAACGAGTAGAAGCGCTGCAGCTTGCTCTTTCCCACGGCGGCGGCCGCGGCGGCCGCGGCGGCCGTGGAGGAAGACAGCGACGAGGAGGCGGAAAAGGAGGCGGCAGAGAAGGAGGAGGACGAGGCGGAGGCGGACACGGAGGAGGAAGGCGGCGGCGGCGTTGGCGTCGCCCCGGCCTGGCCCGTCGACTCGGCCCGCTCGTCGGCGAAGGTGATGTGCCGCTGCGCCCCGCTGCCCTGCGGCAGCGAGTGGCTGAAGGTGTGAGCGCGGCGCCGCATCTGCAGCGGAGATTCCGGCGTGGGAGGCGAATGGGGGCTGAGCGTCGGCGAGAGGGGAGGCGACGCGCCAGGCGATCCGTCCTGAAGGGGGCAGCAGGGGACAAATTTTTTTTTTTTTTACAAAATTAATGACGGAATTTTTCGGGCAAATGAGTGTTTTATTTTTGCAGTTTTTTTTTTATTATTAAAGTTGTTGTCATTTCCCCCCATGGTGGCCACAAGGACAGAAGAAAGATTATAAACGAGAGGAGGGCGACCGGCTCGTTGGGTTGTGAGTGACAGATCGCTTATGTAATCGCATGTGAATCAGCTTCCACCACCACCACCACGCGTGGCTGTGAGGCCAGCCAGTTCCACACAGCCACCACTACCACCACGGCCGCCCGCAGCGAATATAAAACACAATCACTTCCCCTTGGCCTCGGTGCTGAACTTCCCCATTGTGGTGGCCTGTAGTTCTCCTCGCCTCTGTGTCGACCTGGAGGTAGAGTTTGAAGCCGTGTGGATCGACTCGGTCGATAGTATTTCAAGCTTGTGCAGCCCTCGAATAAGTCCTACACAGGTTCGTCTTCTCCGAGGAACATGAACGTATTGAAGTATCGTACGAGAAGCAAACCACGGTCACTTGTCCAGGAATGCCACGCCGTGTCTCACGGCTCTTTCTTCAGGAAGGTCCTGTCTGAGGCCGATTGGCCACTTTCCTTTGCACCAATCCTAGCCCTTTTCCCTCGTCCTGCCCCTCGCCTGTCCCTGCCCCCCCCGTCCTCTGCCCCTGCCTTACCCTCGTCGACTCGCACGCGTTGAGGCTGCGCTCGCGCAGGGAGTCGTAGTTGTCAACGCTGCCCAGGCGGCTGCGCATTCTCCCCCCTCCCTGCGTACGCGCGCACGCACGCACGCACACGCGCACACACACACACATCACCGCCGACATCATCGTTAGAATTTTTGTCGTCGTCATTGTAGTTTTCATGTTCATCATTCTCGTCATCACTGCCGTCATCAAATTCATCATCGCTGTGGTCAATGTTGTCATCGTCATCATTTTCATCATCACCTTCGTCATTATCGTCATCATCATTGCCCGTCATCAACATTGATGTCGTCAGTTATCGTGACCGCAGCTACTATTGCCATCATCATTATCAGATTCATCGTCATGGTCAACATTCTTATGATCATCGTCATTGCCATCATCGTCATCATCATTTTGAATCATCAATAACGTCGATGCACGTTGCGATGTAATTTTTTAATGTTTGTAAATTTTGATGGTGACGCCGACACACGATGGCCAACTCGATTTGAAAGAAGCCACCAGATTTAGCCTTCATTTATTATATTTATTTTCTTTATTCATGTTTATCGGCGCATGGTACACTTCCAAAAATAAGCAAACTGCCCCGAGGTATGGGTCGTATGCGTCCTTTGTTACAGCGCTTATAGTTCAAATTTCGCAAGGTTGGCCTATCCTTTCTATTAATAAACCCAAGAGGGGCAGGGCAAGTGGGGGCGAGAGGGGTAGTGGTGTGGGACTGCATGATATCTTTAAAGTCCACTGTGAAGCAGACAACGCGTAGTATTTTATGATTAATACGATAGTACTAACCAGGGTGGTCTACTAGAGCTGAACCGCAAAGCTCTCCTTCCGCTGGGGCCGTGCCACAACCCCCCCGCCCCTCCCGCCCCCCCCCCCCCCATTTCACTGCTGCTTTATAGTTATTGCTTTATCATCAATGCGTCCTTATTTTGCACAGTGATGGGACCATTCGTTTTCCCAATCAAATGGGCAGGGAAACTGGCAGGCGCAGCGGGCGCAGGAGATACGCGAGGGTGGCGCACGCTGGGGAGCCAGATAAGACTAAGGGGGCCTGGGGGCTGGCGGGGGTGGGGTCAAGTTCAAGTGCGCATTAGCAAGCGTGCGCACGTGCGAGAATGCCAGCAGTTGCGTTACAACGCGGGGCGTATCTCGACCCCGTTCCGTGATGTATATTCCAAAGATATTTGTTGTTATATTTTTGTTTACGCGCCTCCTATTCATGGGGCTTATCAGTCATATGCTACGCAAACAGAACACAGTGACGACGCGGGAGTTAATCTCGACGTAGATCGAAATGGATCCCTCTGCGTAGTCGTGGAAACGTGCGGTTGCAATAATAATATTGACAACGATAAAAATGAGGATTATCATGACAATTGCGATGATGATCCAATCCCAAATCAATTTCAAAGTCGCCACTCACCCTCGTTAACGTCTTCCAAGGCACTCTCCCCTGACTAGCGCTCTCCTCCCTCTCATCTCACTCTAATCCCCCACCCCCCTCCTGGGAGGAAACTGGAGAACTCGGGGGGAAAAAAAAAACCCCATGGAGGCGGAACAGGGAGAAAAACCCCGCAAGGAAAGGTGTCAGAATCGGGAATCGAACCCAGGTGCTTCGTGCTGCGAGCTTTGCCACCACGCCAGCTACCCTGGCCGCAAAATCCCGTTTGGTCGCGCCTCCTATGGACAAGCGACGTTCACCACCGCCCCATCCCCGCCCCCGCACTCACCCTCGAGAAGATGTTCTCCAGGGAGTTGGTGAATGACTTCTTGGCCTTGTTCTTGAGGATGTCCAGCTTGGACTGGCTGGGAGAGGAGCGCAGATCTCCTGTCCCGTGCGTCGGCTGACCCCGAGCGAAGAGATGGGGGTCAGGGGTCGAGCGAGAGCGGAGGGGGCAAAAAGACGACCATCAGGGCGCGAGGAATGACTCCTCGTTGGTGGCAGAGGGAGCGCAGCAAAATCCACGGTTGTATGGCGATTCTACGCTCTCCGTCCATCGCCAAACCGCACAGACAAAGCGTGGTCGTCAAATAACCCCCCCGCGACCTCGCAGCCGTGGGGAGGCCCCCCATCCAGCAGCGGATTGAGACGAGGGCTGTGCGTGCGACCGCGATCGAATCGTTTTTGACACGAGCAGTACAGTCTGTGTAAGATTGTAAATCGGTGCACGCGACCCGTTTGCGGTGCGCGAATCGGAAACACGGGCGACGACGCGCGCACCCTCCATGCGCAAAGAAGCATGGAGGTGCATCCTGGGGATGTCCACTGAGAGACTAGAAGAGGAAGAACGTGGATTAGAGGCGTCACACGCTACTCGAGCCTTGCACGTGGCAGTTGCTTCGTTGCTAAACAACAATAGCTTTAACTTGAAAGGCACTGCACAATAGTCGCTCGACATCGAAGACAGCGACTGAGAAACGCAAAGAGGAACCACAGACGAGCGGGAACGCAGCGGCTATGCGGTGAGCCATTGTCAAATTGCCCCTTCCCCCCCCCCCCCCCCGAGCTCTGCGATCCTCTATATATTAAGGTGTTATCGACCAAATAATAATGTGAGAGGAAACCAGAGGAGTCGGAAAAAACCATCATGTGTAAGGGGGAAACGCTCTATCCCACACAGATGGGATAAGTGGAGCCTGCATTTTTTCTCTACCGCCTTCTCTCCTGGCGAGCCAGGGGTACGGCAACTTCCCCGACGGCCCCCCCCAACGCTAATGGGTTAGGCTGCGCAACATTAGCACGGCGATCCGTCGTCCCCTCGCCGCTGCCTCGACAGCGCCACCAGATCCCGCAGGCCGCCACCTTACCTGCTGGGGCATGTCGCCCAGGTGCGTGTGCGTCTTCTGCTTGCCCTCGCACACCTGGCGCAGGACGCACATCACCACCTCGTTCTCGTCCTGGTCGCCCGTGGGACGCTGGCGCTGCACTCGCTCAAAGATGTCGGCCTGCTCGTTGTCCGACAGCAGCGCCACGTGCTTCTGGATGACCAGCTTCGCCTTGGGCGGGTACAGCCCTAGCGGCAGCCAGAGGGGTCGGAGGTCGAGGGGAGGGGTGGAGGGTTTGGGGGGGGGGGTTGAGGAGTGGGGTGAGCGGTGGTGTTGGGTGGGGGTCGAGAAGGGGGTGAGAGAAGGCAGATGAGGAGAGAGAGGTGGTTGCGATGCGAGCGGGCCGGATGGAGTGTTGTTAGGCACAACGTCCGACGTCTTGCTCCGGGTGCTCGGGAGGTTTCTTCAGAAGCCGAGTTTCCTCCACCCACGTTGACGACTCGGTCTACCTGACTGAAGGCATTCTCACCCGTGCCGCTGGTCACAAAATCACGTTCGGCCAAACCATCCATGCACACTCACCCAATCCACCGATCCACCCACTCACTCACTCACTCACCACACTGCAGGCCATCTCACTTCTCTTTCTGCTTCATCCCTTGTCCTGCTCCACTTGGGAATTCCCTCCTCCCATTGCCCCTTTTACCCCCAAGTTCTTAAAATAACCTTGCTCAATTCAAGAAACGCTTTTTTCACTCATCCATTAACATCTTCAAGATGGCTGTTTTCATTTCAAGCCGCTTGGGAGTATTCGGGCCTTCTGGCCCTGTGCTCAGCAATCGCGATAAAATAATAAACCGCAGAAGACATTGCACGTCACCGAGCAATGACGCCACCACCTGGATCGCACGGCGGTGACGGGCCGAGTTCGCTTGGCGTGATGCCGTCATCACGCCAATATCGAGCAACACCCGCCAATTGCCACGAAGTGACGGTGACGTCACCACGGTGCCTGTGCCAGGACATGGTGCACTTTGCGGCCATGTGAAGTGTCAAAAGTTCGCTGACAGGAGGTCATTGGACAGACCCCGGTGCCATGGGGTTGACTGACTGAGATGACTGGCAGGTGCACAAGCTGTGCCCCCTACTGTGCCAAACTGCTGTATTTTAGCCACCCGGCACTCCGCTCGTTTTTGTGAGCGTCGCTCATCTGCCCTCCCTTGTTGTTGGAGGTGGACTGTTTCCAACTGATGAGTAGCGTCCTTCACGTTACTCCACCACCCTCCCCCTGACCCTCCCTCCCGGAGTATCCTGCACAAACGCGTGGGTAGTGCTTGTTTTCTATGTTGTTTTCAAATGTATCGCAACGGATTCGTTATTTGTGAAGTGACTGTCGACCGGTCAGAGCCCATGTCAACTTCGTTGCAATGGAGGCCCCCCACCCGGTTTACTACTATGTATTTATTTGACCAGGTAAGGCCCCACTGAGCTATGTAACTCGTTTCGGAAACGACTTGGCGACAAATGATAGCTCGACGAAAGTGGCTTATCATCATGTCGAAATGTATAGCGGGTAGTTAACATCTCGCCACTGTGGCGAGATGTTAACTAACTCGCTTGGTACACATTATACAGCACCTACACCGCCATCTACAACCCAAACGGAACTAGCCAAGAATCTTACGAACCTCGTTACACTCGTGTCCACTGACGCCGATCAAGAGCGCCGTTTTTTGCTGGCCCGCTTGGCCTTTCGGGGGCTTTGCTTCTGCGCTCGGCAAACCGTGATGGAGAAAATGAACCAAAAAAAAACACTCGGAAATGAGTGTCGCGGATCTCTGGGCACGCTCACCCTCGATCCTCTCACACAGCTTGTGCAGGTAGTGCATGGGGCAGGCCTCGCAGAGCTGCACGGGCGTCTTGGCGTTCTGCAGGCTCGCCGCCGTGTGGAAGGCCTGCTTCAGCGTCAGCATGATCTCGTCCACCTGGAGACCCACGCGGACAACCGTGGTCAGGAGAGGGGGGGGGGAAGCCGCTTCGATAATTAGTAAAACTTGTTATGCTGCGCCGCTGCTACCACGCGGTGTAACACTAAACAATAAAAAGTAAACCATTTTTTATTTTACCAGGTAAAGCCCACAGAAGCGACCTGGCCACAAATGCGAGCTCAACGAAGTGGCTCCTTATCATGTGGATATTTATAGCAGCCAAATAATACAAACGCATGTTTCCAAATGCGGAGGAAAAACAGGAGGACCCGGAGAAGATCCATGTGACCACGGGGAGAGAGACATGCAAACTCCAAATATACAGGCGTCAAGGTTCGGGATCAAACCCAAGACCTCCTGTATATCATGCAAGGTAGTTAACATAAGCCACCCTCAAGCTCTGCAGTCCTCAAAATATATTAAGATGTTAACGGCCAATTATTTTGTGTGTATGCACGTGGAAACTAGAGCACCTGCAGAAAACACACGTGTGCGATGTGGCAACACTATATCTCAGACAAACAGACGGAGTCCACGTTTTTCTGTACCGCCTTCCCCTGGCGAGCCAGGATAAGGCACACCTCCTTGACGCCCACGGGAAGGGAGTTTCACGAGGTTTGTGCGATCCACAAACCTTCTTTTGTTCTTTCGGTAAAATCACGTAGAATGAGAATAAAATAATAAAATAAAATAAGACAATAAAATTCTCACGACGTTTCGGCCACAACACAAGTAGCCTTCATCAGGTGAAAGAACAGAATTGTTGGGACGACAGTGCTCCAATGAGTGTTGTTAAGATTCGTAGCGTCTTTTTAAGCTCGGTGAGAGGCGTGGAACCTCTTGACAAAGGAGTTTAAGCATCAAAGCAGGAGAATTTAGCATTGAAATAGCTGAGGGATTGGCTTGTGACAGAAATAGCTATGTTAAAGTCAGAGTTTACCTATCAACAGAGGCATTTAGTATATGGACGCTAAAGGCCTCCAACTACCCAACTTTCATACAGTAAACCGATGTGAAAAGAACTAAGTCTATATTACATAATATAATAAATGTACTTAATATATTCTTCAATAAGCTGGGCTATTAATCACAAAGCAACTGGGTATACACTACACTATATAATGAGTGTCTTTTAAGCTCGGTGAGAGGCATGAAACGTCTTGACAAAGGAGTTAACGTATCAAAGCAGGACAATTTAGCATTGAAATAGTTGAGGGATTAGCTTGTGACAGAAATATACTAAATGCCTCTGTTGATAGGTAAACTCTGACTTTAACATAGCTATTTCTGTCACAAGCTAATCCCTCAGCTATTTCAATGCTAAATTCTCCTGCTTTGATACTTAAACTCCTTTGTCAAGAGGTTTCACGCCTCTCACCGAGCTTAAAAGACGCTACAAATCTTAACAATGCTCATTGGAGCACTATCGTCCTGACAGTTCTGTTCTTTCACCTGATGAAGGCTACTTGTGTTGTGGCCGAAACGTCGTGAGAATTTTATTGTCTTATTTTATTATTTTATTCTCATTCTACGTGACTTTACCGAAAGAACCAAAGGTCCGTGGTCTGAGCGTGGCTGTTTTTCACTCCAGCGCTGTCCTCGAGACAGCCTGATCCCTTCACCTGATGAAGGCCGCTTGTGTTGTGGCCGAAACGTCGTGATTTTTGTTGTTTTATTTTTTACCTACGTGACTTTACCGAATAGAACCAAAGAGTACAGAACCAAAGAAGATGAATCCTTGCAGTCTCGAAAGCTTTAAATCGAAAAGATCTACAAACCGTCGCCTCTACAGTGTTGGATTACAGGCCACGTAGATAGCGACCACCTGCCGCCCGGATAAATTATAGTTTGGTACTCTCCCAAATCCACCTACTCCACCCGATCTCTATCGTCGTTCACCACCACCATCGTCATCTTAATCATCACCATCATTATCATTGTCGTCTTGTTGGACACGGTGGCATACATCTGCAAACCAGGTCTACACTCCTCCCCGACTTCACAGACCCGCACTGGCCAGCGTGTATGGTCACATAACTCTCACAGCCCGAGCTGTGTGGTCGGAGGCCGTCATCCAGCAGTGGATTGACGAACGAGCTGCAACGAGTACGTACGTCATAAACCACAGGCAGAACTGTGTGACTGTCGGGCAGCTTTCGGGAGGCAGGAGAGAGTGTGGAACACAATCGTGGGCTGTAGAGGGCAGCAGAGTGTAAGGGCAGCAGGCCAAGGCGATAACACAAGGTGGCCCAAAAGTTTTGTGACTGGAAATAGAAATAGGGGTTGGGCTACTAGGGCAAGGGTTAGGAGCTGGCACGATTGGGGCTGGTGCTATGGCTACTAGGGTTGGTGTTAGAGGCTAGGACTATAAGGGCTGGGGCTAGGGTTACTCGGGACAGGATCTATGGGCTCTGGGCTAGGCCTACCAGGGCTGGGAGTTAGGGTTATGGGCTGGGACTTCAATGCCTCGGGCTATTGGCTCAGGGCTAAGATGAAGAGACGACGAGGGCTAGGGGCTAAGACTACAAAGGCTGGAGGCTAGGTGCTAGAGTCACAAGGGTGAGAGAGCAGCACTGACCAGGGCCTCGCTGGCGCACTGGAAGACATAGCACACGTAGTGCGTGACGCCAGGCTCAGCACTCTCGCGACAGATGAAGCCAAAGTGATCCACATGTTTGATGCCCTGTGGGGGGGGGAGCAGGAGGGGGGGGCACATCACACACAGCGGACAACGCAGCAAGGAGGACACGCATCAGAGACACATGTATATACAAAAATACAAACACATGCACAAGCACACACATACGAACAAGCTGATGCACACGCTCATGCACAGAGATAGATGTACAAACACAAATTCACGTGCACAGACAGATGAACAAATGTGGCATACACACCAACACGCATTCACACGGATGTACAAATGCAAAGACAAATGTCACCCATATAGCCTTAACAGACTGTTGGGGCAAGTGCTGTTAGCCAGCAACTATAAAGGGCAGAACAGCACAAAAGAAAGTGGGTGGACAACACCACGCCTGGTCGCCTTTGTCTCCCCAGTGCTGACGTTAACACACACACACACCACACCAGACGTGCAAACCCACACACAGCGCACACGCGCGCACACGCACGGCATCGTCACCAACCCCCTCAGTCATTCATTATTCACGCCGCAACTATCCGCAGGATTCTGTGACAAAACGCACACCCCATTACTAACCTCACCGCTCGCGCTTTTGGGATTTCGCGGCGCCATACGGGCGGCAGAGGTAGCCTGCGAGCAGCTGTCACACGGGCCGAGTCGGAATGTCTCCACGCGGAAACGCGCAACGGTGACGCTGAAGCAGGGGCGGCCCGTTCATTTAGGCGAACTAGGCGGTCGTCCCTAGGGCGCGCCAAGTTAAGTGGAGCGCCAAATTCGTGGCAGAGTCGTGGATGATTTTGGATTTGTAATAATACAAATTTGTATTAACATTTTTTATGCATTTTTATTTGAAATCAAACTGACACATCGTTTAGTTGCAGTGTACAAATCTATTCTTTACATTTCGTGTCTCTATTTTATCTAATCTCAGAAACATCGGTTGGTCAGACGGACGGACGGACAAACCGAATAATCATGCTTCTGTTTAGATTTTTTCTTTCCAAGTTTACTAAAAACGTCAGCCTAGATCTGTCCTTTGGGTTTGGGGGCGCCGATTGCATGGTTCGGCTTAGGGCGCCAGTTGGACTGGCAGCTAGTTTAGGGCCCGCCCCTGTGCTGAAGCTAAACTACCCTAAGGCCGCGGTGGAAATTCCACATACCCAAGGAAGGTTCTGTGTGTTGTCTTGGTGTGGTCTGGGACTGTTTTAGGTGTTGCTTTGGTGCCTTGCCCAAATTTGGGATTTGGTGTACATATGCAATTTTAACTGATATACTTGACTTATTTTACGTATTTATTTTTAGTTATTTGCTTACCTTTCCTATACACTGCACTCCTATTGTGTCGTTTGTTGTCGTAACCTTCTAACACGCCCATACTGGACATCTGTGAAAAAGTTCTTTGTAGCCCATCGGATTTCTCCGGTATGAATAAAGATTCTGATCAGCACTCTACACCCCACAAGACAACTCGTGACATTTTTCGTAGGCTTTCAAAACACAGTTGATGAGCGCCAAGCGCCAAGACCCGAGGGACAGAGCTGGCAGCAGCGAGACAGGCGACAGCCGTGAGCGCAAATCGGGCCAGCGTCGGGGGGACGCCGAGCACACGTGGAACAGATGCATGGCGCGCTTGCGAAGATTGGGGGGCGAGCGGAGAAGGAGCGGAGGAGTAGCGGCAGAAACCTGGGAGCAGGAAGAGATGTCCTTGAAGTTCTTCTCAATCGTTACGGTTTTGGTGTCCGGGCTGATGAGGTTGATCTCAAAGCGCCCGACCTACGCGCGACGATCCACCCACAGCACCACGACCATCACCACCGCAGCAACAGTCAATAATAATAATAATAACAGGAGTTAACATTAATATGATCATGATGATCAGATTACTACCCAGCATAATCATTCACAGTTCCAATTTGCCCATAAATTCCATGATACGGGCAACCGCTCAAAGTAAAATCCATGAGCCGTGAACACAACGAGCGTACACGAGACCAACACCCCCCGTGTTACTGACACCGCGCCAGGTGTTGCATAACGTTACCGTCGTTATCGTTACGTAACTACGAGACGTCTTTGCACAACTGGTATCAACCAGGTGCACCTTGCAAAGGGTAACTTTGGTTCTCATTCTGGACTCGCCTGATTAAATACAGAAAAGGCAACGCTAATTTCCGCTTGCTGCCATCAAGCAAAAACGAAACCCCCACCCGAGTCTTGGAGACGGACGAGTGGATCAGAGACACGGGGTCGTAATGGCGATGTCGGAGGCACTGAGCCAGCACTGAGATGGTGGTGGCGATGGTGCATTAAGAATCATGTATGTGCGTGTGTCAAACCATTATTTTTTCGTGTAATATTGTGTTAGGGCGCTGTTTTCGACCTCTTCTGCATTGCGGTTATTCTTTCTCCGATTTCTATTTGCTTCATCGATGTACTTGTGTTCTTGCGCTGACCCGCAGATTGTCCTGGTTCGCCACTGATTAAGCAAAACAAACCTGAATCTTGAAACTACATCAAGACCCTTCCAATATGCCACGCTCCTCCCCCGTGTGTTTTGCAGAACGGGACGCATCCGACAGAACGTCCGGCGGGGAGAAAAGGCGATGATTGTTACATCGCTGGATCTCGAGAGATGGCAGCGGCTTTGGGAGAAGTGCATTGACCACAGCCGATTACGCTAATGTATGAACGTCAGCATCTCTAAGGCCTCTCTATTTATGCGCTATGAAGAAGGGCCTTTGCCTGAGTTTTATTGACGAATGTCTGAGGTTTTTGTTGTGCATTGTGCTCTTGCACCACTGCCATTGCAGCAACACAACAGCATCACCAGATAATTGTTTAAGGTATGAGGACAGGCCTAACATTTTGACTTTGGAGCTCAGCTAATCTGAGGATCTGCCCTCGTGTGAAACCGGAGGCAGAGGTTGGGTAGAAGTTGGGGTCAGGTGTCAAGGTCAAGTTTTGCAGAGGCTACTGTGAGAGAGACGCTATAGAAGGAAGGGGCTCACTGTCTGCCCCCCTTCCTCCACCCACCCGCCACACCACTCTCGTTTCATGTCCGCAGGCTTTGATGTTTCTGATCCGTACAGAGCACTAGGGTGTTTGTGAGTCAAATATCACAACCACCAAGCTATAAACTTGGAAAGAAGCAGTGGAATTGATGATCTCAGCCCGGTTACAAATGACTGCACAAACTCCCCCCCCCCCTCCACCATCAGATTAAACTTGGTTCCGCATTTAATTTGGCCAAATTCCAGCGCTGAGATATAAAATACTGGTTTGGCAATCACGCGTCAAACCTTAACTTTCATGTGGCAGAGCGAGTGGTGAAAGCGCTGCTCTCTTACTGTGTGGCCCACAGGTCACTTGTAGGGATCTCGGAGGTAGCTCTGTGACATCCACTTCCACGGGCCGTTCTCTGCGAGCGATCCGAATGGATTCTAGGTTTCGTGATGATGCGACGCCAACAGTACAAATCGAAATCAAAAGGAGGAAAAATTTTGCTAAAAAAAGACCATGCCACTGCTGGGTGGCCCGCAGCAACGCCCGGCTACCTTTGTCTCTCTAGTGGCGATGTTCACACGCTGCACAGGACACTACGTAGATCTTGGGGAGGGGCAAAGGACCGGTTCGGATAATCTTTCGGTGTTGGCTGCCAGCGGCAATCGAACGCGGATCGCCGGGTTCATAGCGCAGCACGCAACTAACCGCCGTACTACCGCTCCCCACGCACTCAAGCACACTCTGCACCCCTCCAACCCCACTCGCCTGGAAGAGCATGGTGCGGTTCTTTTCCGCGTCCGACGGTTGCACCAGGCTCGGCGCGCTCGCGTGCCGCCTCCTCTGCCCGCCGGTGCGGCATGCCGCAGCGCCAACGCCGGCGCCGCCGCTCGCCTGTGCCGGTTTCCGCTGCAGGCTGCCCGCCGCGCTGTAGCACCGCCCTCGGAAATCTGGCACGCCTTCCAGATCGCCGCCGCTGCCGCCGCCGCCGCCGCCGTCGGTGTTACCGCCGCCGTTACCGCCGACGCAGGAGAAGCTGCCGCTCCGCCCGCTCGTCGCCGCCACGGCGGCGAACACTCCGACGCCGAGGGGGTCCGAGTCGAACGCCAGCGAGTCGCAGGTGGCCACGGCCGACAAGCCGCTTGCCGCCTTGCCTCCATTACCACCGGCGCTGTCGTTGCACGCCAACCGCCTGGCCGAGATGACGATGCCTTCATCCGGGACGAGGTCGTCGTCCTCCTCCTCCTCCTCCTCGGACGTCTTGGCGCACCGACCGTCGGCGCCGGCGGAGGCAGCGGGCGGGGAGGAGGAGGACGAGCTGAGGGACGAGCGAGACTCGGCCAGCAACGCCGATGACGGCGCAGTGGCGGCGGCGGCGGCGGCGGCGGCGGCGGCGGCGGAGACCGTCGGAGCGGCCGGCGGCACGGGCGGCGCCGGCTCTCCGACGTCACCGATGAGATCCTGCGACCCGGGGCCGTCGGCGCAGTCGGCGCCCTGCGACGAGCGCCGCGAATCGCCGCCGCCGGCAATGAAACTGGGGCCGTCCGAAGCCGGCGCCGGGCTGCCGTTGCTCTCGCCGTCATCGAGGCAGCGCAGGCGTGAGCGCGTCGACTCAAGGAGGCTGAACTTGGCGATGCAGTCGTCCACGAGTGTGGGCGGGGCCTTCTTGTGTGCGACGCTCACCCTGCCGCGGTACAGCACCTCGAACTTGTGCGCGTTGCAGAAGGCGTCCTGGGCTCCCCCCACACCGCCCACGCCGGATGATGGCACCACCGCCGTCGCCGGTGCCGCCGGTGGAGCCTCGGAGCTGCCCACCGGCGCTGCCGCTACCCCTGCTGGCTGCCCCGGCTTGCCACGGCCATCTTCTTTGATGGCCGCCTTGCCCACTTGACGGATGCAGCTGATCACTTCTTGGACCTGGAGGAGGTAAAATGGGAAAAAGAGTCAAGGCGCAGCCCCTGCAATTGCTTACTCCTGTAACTGTTGGCGTACAGGGCCTCCGCCAGAGGGCGGCTCTAGAGAGCCCCGCAAGAGGGAATTTGGCCGACTCTTCCACGCTGGCTAGAAATCCTGGTAAAGGTGGGAGTACTAAGACTCCACCTCACCATGTGCGGGCCTGTCGATCGACTGATTGTGGTGTTACCCATTCGTACGACTGGGTGGACGAAGGAGGAGGGGGTTTGGAAAAATTTGCACCATCGTTTCGACTGCAGTGCCAGGAGAGTGCAGCGTTGCTGACCGTTATGCCACGGCAGAATCTTGAAGGGGACACAGGAGGAAGAAGTTACGGAGGGGCAAGGGTCAGACTCAATTAGAGTTTCTTGTCAATCAGCCGTAGTCAGGTGGATCTGTGGTAGAGAGAGCCGCTTGCAATTGGAAGGTCAAGAGTTCAAATCCTGGCTGGGGGAGAGGGGGGTTAGTGTGTGACTCAGCCCATCAGCCTTCTTTCCACCACTCTCTGGGGGACGTCAAGAGTGGTTGTCCTATGGGAGACTCACCCCCGTCATAGAAATTTGGAATTTCCACCACTGGCCCTGCAGGGCTGTAAACTGCAGATGACCATCAATGCCTCATTAAGTGCTCATTTGAGCAGGAAATCAGCGTTGACTCTTACAGATGCATTATTGTTGTTGTTAAAGCCACCGGGCATCCACTTAGCAACTGTGCTACTAATCCTGACAGTAAATATACTTTCAACAACTTAATTTGCCACAATCTCACAACTTTAATTACTTTGGGTGTGCCCCGAGGCAGCCTTTGCCACCCCACTCGTGACCTTGGTATCACATTGGGGGTGACCTAGGGCAGCCCCACAAACCAATTCCCACTTTTGCTGCCAAATGCATAAGTACGACGACTGAGAGCAAGTGCTGTAAGCGATCACCTATTACGGCTGCACCAGGTACTTATTTAATGCCAAGTCGACCTAGGGGAGGCTCAGGATTGGTTTAGTTATTCGTCGCTGATGCGAACTCAGGGTTCATAGCGCAATGTTATATTCTCTACCCTCCCCCTTCAAATGCATAGACACACAGATGCGCACCGACACATACACACAAAGACCCCCCCCCCACCACCCCCGTATAGCCTTAACAGACTGTTGCGGCAAGTTCTGTTAGCGAGCATCTATGAAAGCCATACACACACACAGAAACTAACCAACACACACACACACACAATCACTCACCTACACACATAAAAAGAGAATAAAACACTTCAAACACATGCATACACACGAGCTCACACACGTACACAAAACACACACACACACCCACAACTCCACTCATAACTCAACGAGCACTCAAACACAAAATGCTCGGAAGCTGAGGCTGCGTTCAGGAAATGGCTAAACACACAAAGATACACAGAAGGTTTTCCACGAAAAACTGAACTTGACTTGAGACTCGCCCAGCGTTCACACCGACACCACCACAACACTCATGCTTACACCGCTCCATTGCTCACACTCGCACCGCCCCGACTCCGCTCACACTCACACCGAGTGGCTGTATGGCGTGTGTGTGCACATGTGTACGTGGGTGTGATCTTAGTCTTCGTTTTGACTATGTGGGTGTGTATGACACACAGGGGGGGGAGGGTGGTGCTGATAATGAGTGGGAGTGTAGGGTGCGCATGTGTGGCATGCGGGTATGTGCTAATAATGAGTGGGGGTTATGATGTGGCACGAGGAGGGGCGGGGGGTTGCTCAAGGGTGGGCAGGCATGCTGATAGTGTGAAGTGTGTGTTGTGCGCGGCTGTGTGCATGCCATAGGTGTGTGTGTGTCAAGTGTGTGCGCCTGTCTCACAAGGGTGTGTGCTGATAATGCCGTTGTCGTGGAGTAAGGTGGGGTGTGTGTTGTGTGAGATACAGGGGTATGGGGAGCGGGAGTGTAGCGGTGAGCATGCCGCGCTATGAACCCGGGGGACCGAGTTGGGGATTCACACTCACGGCTAATGCCAGTGACGATTATTTCAACCAGTCCTAGGCCTCCCCTAGGTCGACGCAAACGGAGTACCTGGTGCAATGTATAAACATGACAAAGGTGGCCGGCGTGATGTTGGCCAACCACCCCCTCGTGAGCCGTGCCGGCCTGCATAGGTGCTCATTAAGAGTACTTGCCCCAACAGTCTGCTAAGGCTATGTGGGGGTTCTTTGTCTTTGATAAAGGGGCCAAGGTTGTGTTGTGGTGGGGTATGCGTTATGGTGCGAGGGTGTGGGTGGTATCGCGAAAGCATGTGTTGGGATTTTAACCATGATCCCCGTGTGGCCTTTAACAGGCTGCTGGGGCACGTTCTGTTCGAGGGCACCGATTAAGGCCGGAACTGCACACAGAGTGGTGGTGTGACCGGAGCTACAGCAAGCCACGTTTGCAAACGCACACGCACAGATAGGAGGAGAGATGCCAAGAAGTTGGTGCATATGCACCCAATAGTCTCTTAAGCCAAGACTATTGTCATGAATTATAATACTCGTTGATCGAGGAAAGCATCGGTGAGTCTCGAGACTCTCTTCTAGGAGGGCCCTGCCAAGTTTCCACAGCAGATGGTGATGTTGCCGTGTATTGCCCGAATTCAGTAACTCCGTAGGAAGTTTGCCAGCACCGAGACGTTTGGCCAATACTGGTTAAATGTTTAATGTTATTTTTGGCTATGGGAGGAAACTGGAGAACCCAGAGGATATAGAAGCAGAACAGGGGGAGAAGCATTAAAACTCCACCACAGTCAGGAATCTAACTCGAGGAATTTTTGCTGTGCGAGGCACGGGTGTGATCCGAGTACGATTTCCTCACACGGCCAAACACCAGTGATGAATATTTGAACCTGTCCTGTGCCACCTCTAGGTCGACTATGCCTTAAAAGGAGTACCTGGTACGGTGTGCAAACATCAACGGTGGGGAGACAAAGACGGCCGGGCGTGGCGCTGGCAACCCACGCATCCCCTTCGCGTGCCGTGTCGGCCTTCGCTAGGTGCTCCTCCTCGCTAACAGCACTTGGCCCAACAGCACGTCTCAAGGCTACACGGGGGATCTTTGTCTTTGAAGTATGCGAGAACTGGCACGCACGTGCGTCCACTCACATGGAAGTGTGTGTGTACGTTCGCACCAGCGTGCATACACGCGTCTTATTTCACACGGGCGCTGGCGTGGGGACGCTACGAGGCCTGCGCACCAAGAACCTATCGCAGTTGGCGGTGGGGGTGGGGAGCAATTACATAACGTGGCAGCACCCTCACCAGGGGATACGCACATGCGGAAATTCCCAGGGCTGCGAGCTCACCGCCACGTTCAAGACCCGACGAAAGAACGGCCCTGCTGACCCGACGACACACTGGGGAGGTGCGCTCTCAACAACCGTGTCCCACCAGCAACAGCAGCAGCGACAACAGCAACAAGAAGCAGGTGTGGGGATATTCCCCCCACCCCCAACCCATAAACGGAACTATCAGGGGACTCCTCCGAAACAAACCGCAAATGCACAGCGAGGTGCAAACCGATGAGGCGTCACCGACGACTGCCCCAAACACGACCACGCTCTGCATTCTGGAGGAACGAGCGAACCTCGCCACTCGGTTACCACCCCCGGATGCTGCCGTGGAGGTGGCCGACAGCATCATGCACTTGATTGTAACCCTCGTGCCCACGTGCAAAAAATAAAGAGAGGACCAGCACGTTCATCAACATCGACGCTGCGGAAACAAATAAATTAACCGCCGCTTAAGATAAAATTTCTGAGTTTCCCCCCCCCCCCCCGCCTCTTGCCCCCCCCCCCCCCCCCCCCCAGTTTATTTCAGCTCTTCAATTGGCAAGCATCTCGCACAGCAACGCATTGCCAGGACAGCCGCGAGTGGAGAGATTCTCCCATGAAAACGGCGGAGAGCGTTCCCGTTGAGTACCGCCAGAGTCAATAGACGATTTGACGAATCGCGACTTGCCGCTGCCTCCATCTCTCTCTCTCTCACGAATAGCAACGCTCAGGCGCGACCACAGATCCGGTTTACGCACGGACGGAGTCGAGCAAACGCATTGTGGTCGGAACGCATTCCAGCATCGCGAACACCACCACCGCAGCCGCAGCCGCTACTCCCCCACAAAGACAAAGATCCCCGTAAAGCCTGAACAGATTGTTGGGGCAAGTGCTGTTAGCTGAAGGCCGGAACGGAAACACGATGGGGTGGGTGGCCAGCACCACGCCCGGCCGCGTTTGTCTCCCAAGTGACGATGTTTACACACCGCACCAGGTACTAATTTGAGGCCGAGTCGACTTAGGGGAGGCCCAGGACCGGTTCAGATAATCGTCACTGGTGTTGGCCGTGAGCGGGAATTGAACTCGGGTCGCCGGGGTTCGTAGCGAGGCGCGCTAACCGCTCACTACTGCTCCCCACGCACACACACAAAGGCAAGCCAACCCGCTGCGTCGTATATCTCGCTTCAAGTAAACAGGGGAGAGGCGTACGTACGGGGAAGGGAGAGAGAGGGAGCGAGCCACACGATAGATTATTTGGCTGTCAGATTTGTATTTCGAGTTGTGCTGTTAATTGTTTTGCCCGAGACTCAACAATAGGGGAACATATTCTTGGTTATTTCGGTAAAGTTACGTAGAAGGGAAACAATAAAATAATACAAATATAAAACAATAAAATTCTCACGACGTTTCGACTGCAACACAAGCAATCATCATCAGGTGTGAAAACCACCTGATGATGATTGCTCGTCTCCCCCCTCCTCTTTTCCGAACATAGATGTCCTCCGTCCATCTGAATAACTGCCAAATCGCTCTCCGTGGTGCTAACGTAAAAAAAAACGCCACTTTTTTCAAATGTTCTTGCTGTGGTTTTCACACCTGATGATGATTGCTTGTGTTGCAGTCGAAACGTCGTGGAAATTTTATTTTTTATATTTTTATTATTTCCCTTCTAC